AGTCCCATCTGACCTGAACTCACTATGTAGACCAGGCTGGCCTTGAACTCACAGAGATTTGCCTGCCTTTGCCTCCCAAGTGCTGGGACTAAAGGCGTGCACCACCACACCCAGCTACCTAGAGCTTTTTTAAAGCCCTGTAGTAAAGCCTTCAGAGCCTATTTCTAGGTGTTGCTGGCAACTAGCTGTAGAAGACAGGATGCTGAATTCACTGCAGAGGTCCAGGCACTAGGCAGTGAGATCTGACTAGGAGTGTTAAAGAGAGCAGGCAGAGGTTCCCAGAGAACACAGTGATAAGCAGAAGTACAGATGTTACTGACCCCAAGTGCACAGAGACCTGTGAAAGGAGCCTGGGGGAGAATGCTGTCCTCATTTACTCAGGACACAGGGAGGAATCACCCTCAGGAAGTAAGAATTCCCAACTTTGTGGTTCTCCCAGCTTTGTGGTTCCCCCTTCTCCACTGAGCAGTTTGGCTACTGTCTGTGGATTTAGGTGGTAATGACCAGGGGCACAATCTTTCCCACTACCCAGACATACTGTGCTCTGCCCTCCACAGGGGCCGGAAGGGATTTGACATTGCCCTCAATTTGCTCTTTGCCATGGCATTTCTGGCCAGCACGTTTTCCATCCTGGCAGTCAGTGAGAGGGCTGTCCAGGCCAAGCACGTCCAGTTTGTGAGCGGTGTCCATGTGGCTACTTTTTGGCTCTCTGCTCTGCTGTGGGACCTCATCTCCTTCCTCATTCCCAGTCTGCTGCTGCTGGTAAGTGCTGAGTATGCTGGACCCCACCCTGTAGAGCCCAAAGAGCTCACCTGGGGTCCCCTTGTAGAACCAGGACCAACAGAGAAGTCCATCTCATAGCCCATTCCTGATCCAAGAGGACTGCTGGAAACACTAGGTGTTTGCTACCCTTAACCTCCCTTGGGTAGGCAGGACCTGAGCCAGCTGTCTTGGTTCCAGCCCCACCAGCCACAGGAAGAAGAAGAAACTGCTGCTCAGAGAGATCCCAGGGCTGACAGCAATTGTGCTGTGATCAAAGACATCTGGCCTGGGATGGCCAGTCAGGGCCCAAGGACCATTGATTGCTCCCAACAGTCTCTTTCCCTGTCCCTGGGGAGCTGCCCACTGGCCTGTGTACTGAGCTACCTCATCTGTGCTGCTGCAGGTGGTGTTCCGAGCCTTCGATGTGCACGCCTTCACACGGGATGGCCACATGGCCGACATGCTGCTGTTACTCATGCTGTATGGCTGGGCCATCATCCCCCTCATGTACCTCATGAGCTTCTTCTTCTCTGCCGCATCCACGGCTTACACCAGGCTGACCATATTCAACATCCTGTCGGGCATCGCCACCTTCATCATGGTCACTATCATGCGCATCCCAGGTGGGAGCATGGACACCACCCTAGCCCACTGGTTGCCCACTTAGATGTTTTGTCCAAGGAGCCTCTGCCCAGTCAGCACATTGGGGGAGGGGTTGCCTGCAGCATTCCATTCCCCAGGGACCACACTAGGAGAGACCACTTTCCTTGGCCCAGCCCAGGCTACATCCTAGCTGAGTGATTTGCAGGGATACCTGAGACTTTACCTTCCCTGTCTGGATCTGTCCTTAGGCAAGTATGCTATGTCCTCCAACACTAACTGGTCTGAACCTCTTCATAGCTGTGAAGTTAGAAGAACTTTCCAGAACCTTGGATCATGGGTTCCTGGTACTGCCCAACCACTGCCTGGGGATGGCAGTCAGCAGCTTCTATGAGAACTATGAGACACAGCGGTACTGTACTTCCTCAAAGGTTGCCACCCACTATTGCAAGAAGTACAGTGAGTGTCCAGATGGCTCCCCTGGGTAGTCCCTTCCTCAGCTCACACCTAGAGCAGCCAGAACATCCCCAAGATAAGGCTCTTATATTAATCTTTTTTCTGTTCCCTATAACACAGTGTCAAAGACTAAGTTATAGAGCAAAGAGGTATATATTGGTCTATGGCCATCCAAGGACAAGGACCCACTTTTGGCAATGGCCGTCTTCCTGACAGAGTCCCAAAACAGTGCAGAGTATCATGTATTCTAAAATAAGTCATGTGTGTCTTCTGACCTATCCTTTAAAGCCACTGGAGTTCAATCATGGGCCTCTAGCCTGTAGAATGTATCTAATCCTAATCACCTCTCAGAGACCTCACCTCTGAATACCATTAATTGAATCAAATTCCTACCCTCTTCATTCTTCACAATGAGAATTACATTTCAACATTAATAGCAGGGCCCATGTTCGAATGACCAGACATTTGCCCACATCACCCCCAAATCCCACATTAGCCCCTTACTCCTGCACACACATTTTGGGCCTGCATCTAGGCATCTCTTCTTCCCACCTGTTCCAGTACCCTGTAGCCTCTAGAACAGAGAACCACAGCCTATGGCTTAATCAAGAGACACATTACCTAATCATGAGGCTGGAAGCCAGAGGTCCAAAGTTAAAGTGTAGGCAAGGCCATTCACCCTCCAAAGACTCAGGGGAAATCTTTCCCTTCTCATGGTTCCACAGGGTCCTTGGCTGTGGCTATGTCAATATACCTCTGCCTCTGTCTATGCACAGCTACCTCTCCTGTATCTCTGGGTTTCACATTTCCTGCCAATCAAATCCAGTATCACCCCTTAAGGTCTGTTACTAATGCCATCTTCAAAGATCTCATTTTTTAATTTTTATTTTGAGACAGTTTCACTATGTATCTCTGACTGCTCTGGTTGGCCTCAAACTCACAGATCTGCCTGCTTCTGCCAAGTTCTGGAATTAAAGACTTGCACCACCATACCCCATGAAAGATCTGATTTCTAAACAAAGTCACATTCACAAGTTCAGGGGCTTAACACTTTGCCCTATTTTTGTGGGGTCCTACCTATGCCTGGAATGATCTACTTTATGCATCCACACACAGCCTAGCAGTCACCTCTACAAAGCCCTGCATACCCTCTGGCCAGTGTAGTCTTCCTGCACCCTTACCCCCACCCCCTGTTGCTGATCATTACCCTAGAACAGGGCTTATAACTGCTCATCATGTGGCTGTCCCTTCTCTAAACTTGAGTGCCAATAGGGGGGATGTGACTTGGGCATTTTCACATCTCAGCCCAGTCCCAATTCAGGTTGCAAGTGTGAGAAACAGACAAGGTTGTGATTTGTGATTGGTCCCTTGTCACAAATATGCAAGGGACACCTCACATGGCAAAATTCCTCCAGAGCTGGAAAGCGTCTAGGCCCTTGTTTGATATTGACAAACACGGGGCATGCCCTCAAGAATTAGAGCAGAGTTTTGATGGAAGGGCTGAGAATTTGTATAGCCTAGGAAGCTGAGGAAAGTGCTGGGGTCTTGGAAGGGAGGGCACTCAGCCAGGGGCCAAGCCTTGCTCCTTGCCCTGCAGACATCCAGTACCAAGACAACTTCTACGCCTGGAGCACCCCAGGGGTCGGCAGGTTTGTGACCTCCATGGCTTCCTCAGGGTGTATCTACCTCACCCTGCTCTTCCTTATTGAGACCAACCTGCTGTGGAGACTAAGGACCTTCATCTGTGCCTTCCGGAGGAGGTGGACACTGGTGAGTGGCTCCTGGCCTCTCAGGAATGCTGTCCAGATGCTCTCTGCTTGTGCCTAAGCCAGTGAAGGACCGCCTCCCTGTGAGGCCAGCCTTGAAGCTCATGCTCCCTGGGTAGCCCACCCTGTTTGTCAGGCTTCTTCATGGCCAACATATGGTGTTGGCTACCTATACAGCCAGATCCAAGTGCACTGTCACAGCATAGAGAGGGGTCTCGGCCCTCATCATTTACAAGAGCTACCACAAGGCCTGAGACCCTAATGCTACAGCATCAGCCTGGCAGAGACTGTACCTAGGGCCATATGGGCTGCCCAGCCAAATAGGCAGCCATTCCACTTGTTACCACATACATTCATTTTTTTAGTTAATTAGTGTGTGTGTATAGGTGTGGGTGTAGGTGTGTAGGTCAGAAGACAACTTGCAGGGCCTTTAATCCTAGCACTGGGAAGTCAGAGGCAGGCAGATCTCTCTATGAGTTCAAGGCCAGCCTGGTCTACATACTGAGTTCTAAACAAACCAGAGGTACAAAATAAGACTCCCAACATGTGGGTCCTGGGATGGAACCTTAGGTCCATCAGGCTTGGCAGCAGGCACTTTTACCCACTGAGCCATCTCACTGGCTCCACACATTTTTTTTCAGATACACTTCATGTCTCCGTTAACTCCTCCATAAAACAGTCTGTTGGGATCATGTTGTATATCCAGATTAATTGATTACTCTGAAATATTACAACTTTTCCAAGATGAGTTCTCTCCACATGTACTGTCTTCCCAAGCAGATCTAGTGGTGCATAGCTGTAGTCTGCTACTCATGAGGACAAAGTAGGAAGATTATTTGAGCTCAAGAATTTGAGGCCAGGAGCTAAAGAGATGGTTCAGTGGTGAGGAACACTTGTTCTTCCAAGAGGACCTAGGTTTGATTCCTAGCACCTACATGGTGGCTAACAGCCATCCATACCTTCAGTTCCAGGGATCCAACACCCCTTTCTGGCCTCTCCAGGGCATTGCATGCACATGGTGCACTTACATACATGCAAGCAAAACACCCATACACATAAGATAAAAATGGTATTTAAAAAAAAAAAAAAAAGAAAGAAAATTAAGGCAGAGATTGGAGGATCTCTGTGAGTTCAAGGCCAGCCTGGTCTACCTAGTTGGTTCCATCCAGGTCAGCTGGGACTACAGGGAGACCCTGTCTCAAAAGGACAAAAAAAAAAAAAATTTGAGGCCATCCTAGACAACACAGTGATGCCTGTCTCTTTAAATAAAAAGAAGAAATGAGGTGGCAAGATGGCTCAGCAGGTAAAAGCACTTGCCATGTAAGTCTGACAATGTAAATTTGATCCCCAGAACTCCTTCTGGAAGAGAGAACTGAGTCCATCTTTCCATGGGCTGGAAAGATGGCTCAGCAGTTCAGAGCATATGCTCTTGCAGTGGACCCATGTTCAATTCCCAGCACCCACTTCAATGGCTCATAACTACCTGTAACTGTAGCTTCAGGGAGAGCCAACACCTCTGGCTTCCATGGGCACCTGCACTCATGTGCATGTGCCCACACACAGACATACACACATAATTAAAAATACTTTTTTAAAAGCCGGGCATGGTAACACAGGCCTTGAATCCCAGCACTTGGGAGGCAGGGGTAGAGGATATCTGTGAGTTCGAACCTAGCTTGGTCTACATAGCAAGTTCCAGGTGAGCTGGGGCAACAGGGAGACCTTGTCTCAAAAAAGCCAAAAATAATAACAATTATAATAAGTAAAATTTTATTTTATGTGTATGAGTGTATTGCCTGCATGTAAGTGCACCAGTGTCATTTCAGTGCCCTCAGAGGTCAGAAGAGGGTGTCAGATCCCCTGGAACTGAAGTTATGAACAGTTGTTAGCTGCCCTGTGGGTGCTAGAATTCAAACCCAGGTTCTCTGCAAGAGCAGCCAGTGCTCTTAACTGCTGAGACATCTCTCCAGCCTCTAAAAATAATTTTTAAAAAGATTTTTTTAAAGCACACATTCAAAGAAGAACTGACTCTCCAAAGTTGCCCTTTAACCTACACACATGTACTATGGCATGGACACACTCTGATGAAGGAAACACACACAAATATTAAATAACATTAAGAGTGAAAAAGGAGCTGGAGAGATGGTTCAACAGTTAAGAGCACTGGCTGCTCCTACAGAAGATCCAGATTCAAATCCCAACACCTACATGGCAGCTAACAACAGTCCAAAACTCGTTCCAGGGGATCCGACGCCCTCTTCTGACCTCCAAGGTCACTGCACAACACCAGTGCACTTACTTACATGCAAGCAATACACTCATACACATAAGAAAAATAATTTTTTTAAGTAAAAAAAGGATCTTCCTTCACCTCAGTGATGGTTGATTTTCTCCTTGAGTCCTACACAGCTCTTGTGTTACTACCCATGTGGTGGTTTGTTTCCTGGATGCTAATTTCAGCCTCTGAGGCCACCTGCCTCTTGTAAAAGTCAAGAGTGCATGTATTGAGGACTGGGGTGAGAAATCTCAAAGGCTGTAGTCCTACTAGGTATCCCATGTCAACCTGGGGTGAGAAATCTCAAAGGCTGTAGTCCTACTAGGTATCCCATGTCAACCTTGACCCCTCCCTTTCTTCCCATGGAGCTGGAATTCATATGTGCGGTCTTCATCTCAAATAATCAGGCAGAATTGCAAAACAGAACATCGGTGCTTCCTGAGGACCAAGATGTGGCAGATGAGAGGAGCCGAGTCCTGGCTCCTAGCTTGGACTCCATGCTCGACGTGCCTCTGCTCATCAATGAGCTCTCCAAGGTAACAAGCACTGCCTGCCACTGGCCACCAGGCTGGCACTAGAGCTCCAGTGGGGAGTGAGGCCAAAGTCTGGAGTGTCTTCAGGCCTCCTCACTTGGAGCTTTCTGACTGGCCCCCTGTAGGTGTATGACCAGCGAGCACCACTTCTCGCAGTGGACAGGATCTCCCTTGCAGTCCAAAAAGGGGAGTGCTTCGGTCTGCTGGGTTTCAATGGAGCTGGGAAAACCACAACATTCAAAATGCTGACTGGGGAGGAGACCATCACCTCAGGGGATGCCTTTGTTGGGGGCTACAGTATCGGTTCTGACATCAGGAAGGTAGGTACAGTGGGGATGCCCTACTGAGCTGGAGCTGGCCAGATATGCCTGTCTCAGGCTCACATTGGGCACAGCAACATGTGTGGACATCAGGACAAGGCAGTGTTGTGGGACCATGCTTAAAGTAGTGGAGAAGAGAGAAATGCCAGCAAAGAAGTATGACCTAAACCGCCTCCATCCACCCAAAACTGTTTTGTGTCCGGGACACACAAGTGTGAGTTTGGAGACCTAAATAGGTAAGAGAAAGAAGACCCAGGACTCATCCACAGATTCTGCCACATTGGGTTGAACCCACAGAGTGAGGGTGGACTGGGGTAGCCCATGTGTTCACCAGTGCCTGGGAACAATATGGAGTCCTTGTGTGCCAAACAGCCAGAAAAAGGAAAGTGAATGAGCCTAAGCCTGAGAAGGGTGGTAGATCCTCTCCTGAGCTGGTGACAAGGAGCTCTGGACTGTGACACCCCCAGGCCCCAGAGTGCAAGTATGCCCTTTGGAGGAAAGGCTTATCCTAAGCTTTAGTAATTTCCAAACACTGTGTTGTGGTCTATGAGCAGAGCAAGCAACCAAGCAAACACCATGACCTGAATCTGAAGACATAGAATTTAGGGAAGGAACAAATTCAGATTTAGATTTGCAATTATGTAGCCTAAGTTATAAAAGTGTTTGCTGGGGGCTGGAGAAATAGTGGTTAAGAGCACTGGTTGCTCTTGCAGAAGACCCAGGTTCAAATCCTAGCACCCACATGGCTGCTAACAACCATTCGTAACTCCAGCTCTGCGGATCCAAATGCCCTCTTCTGACCTCCTCAGATACTGTACAACACAGGTGCACTTACATACATGCAGATATAACACTCATACACAATAAATTTAAATAAATAGTTTGCTACATTTAAAGATCAGAAATGTATGCCAGAGGAAAAATGAGGGGGAAGGTGAGCAGTGCTAAACACATTTAACCTGAGGTTCAGAATGGAGAGAGTGGGGAGAGCTAATAAGCCAAGAGGTGATGGCTAAAAATTGTCCCAAATCAACCAAAAGCAGACTCTAGAGCTCCAAGGAGGAAAAAAAGTAGTCTAATCTCTGGATTCTTCAGAACCCAGGCACATCTGAGGAATAATGCCCATCACAAGAACACTATCAGTAAACACCTCTTAGAAGAAGGAAAAAAAGATCCTAGCTTATTAGCTGTATACCTGATGAATAATACCTGAGGGAGTGTGTAATCAGTTATCAGCTATAAAGTTTTACATGGTAAACACTTGTATAATAATGAAAGCATTCTTACAACCAGCCTACCTCCACAGTTGCCTGCCATGGACCAGGCTCTCAGCTGGACCACTTGCTGACCCATATCTGATACCTCTTAGAGTCTCCATGAACCACTCCATGTGTCCTCTCTGGGGTGCTGCTCAGAGAACTTCAGCCTATGGTCAGTCACCAGGGCCTGAGTGGTTCCTTAGACAACTCTGAACAGACTCATTAGAAGAGATTGAGGACAGGAGAGAGGCAGACACCACAGCTGGTGGTTGCTGTGGTCTTTCGTTGGAAGACCTGACCCTTCTACACCATATTCCAACCTAGGTCCGGCAGCGGATGGGCTACTGCCCCCAGTTTGATGCACTGCTAGATCACATGACCGGCAGGGAGATGCTGGTCATGTATGCACGGCTCCGAGGCATCCCAGAACGCCTCATCAGTGCCTATGTGGAAAACACACTTCGGGGTCTGCTCCTGGAGCCACATGCCAACAAACTGGTCAAGACTTACAGGTGGGACCAGCACTCAGCCCCTGTTCTGTAAGATCATCCCTGACCCTTTTCAAGATAGTTTAGGGTCTGTCTTATATTAGAGCTCAAGGTAATGATGGGTCAGTGGTCCAAGCTCCCACTCATGGCTCCAGGATCATACAAGATTTGATAGCATGACTCAAGAATTACCTCTTGAGAGGGCTGCCCTGACATTTCCTGCCATCCAGAATCAAGGCCATCTGCCTGACCACGTCAAAGGACCCCTGGGCACAATTCCCTCTAGTACCTCTAGCCCTATACAATGGGCTTTCCAGTACCATTCATCTCTCCCCTGTTGGAGTGTTCTGAAGTCACTGGGCATAGGCCTCTGCTAGTACCCAGGGTGCTCATGTTAATTATTGGTCTTGCCTCCCACCTGGTGGCACCCATCTATCACCAGTGGTGGCAACAAGCGCAAGCTGAGTACTGGCATTGCCCTCATTGGAGAGCCTGCAGTCATCTTCCTAGATGAACCATCCACTGGCATGGACCCTGTCGCCCGGCGCCTGCTCTGGGACACTGTGGCCCGGGCCCGTGAGTCTGGCAAGGCCATTGTCATCACCTCCCACAGGTGAGCCTGGGTATCAGTGGTCAGTAAGAGCCAGAATGGGTAGCTGGGGTGACCAGTGAGCAAAAGATACGGCAGCTGCTAGCACAGAGTCTACCAGGAAATTTCCCAGGCTCTGCATGTGGGCCCCACTCAGCATGGGGAATCCAGGAATGGCTTGATCTGGACATAGATACCTTCCTGTCTGCACAAGCCTTTCACGTTCAGGGTGGGTATCAGCCTCCCTGAGCCCCTATCTCAGGCCTCTCCCATTTCTCCAGCATGGAGGAGTGTGAGGCCTTGTGTACCCGGCTGGCCATCATGGTACAGGGTCAATTCAAGTGCCTGGGCAGTCCACAACACCTCAAGAGCAAGTTTGGCAGTGGCTACTCCCTGCAGGCCAAGGTCCGGAGCGAAGGGCAGCAAGAAGTGCTAGAGGAGTTCAAGGCATTTGTGGACCTGACCTTCCCAGGTGTGTGCTGATGCTAGATGAACCCTGGGCCCCTCTCTAGGCTTATTAGCCACTGCCACATGGCTGACCCCTGGGACAAAGACCCCCAGTCATCTTCCTAGACTGACCCACTTGGGAACATGTTGGTCTCTTGTGCAGGCAGCATCCTAGAAGATGAGCACCAAGACATGGTCCATTACCATCTATCTGGCCATGACCTCAGCTGGGCAAAGGTGAGTCTAGACCCCAGAATCCCACAAGGTCCTAGCAGGGACTAGGAAGGACTTCTAGAGCACCCCCTAGGAGCTCCCCCTTCTATATGATCCCAGGCTCTTTTCAGGGTAGAATTACCTTCTATTTTAACACTCAGCCTAATATCTACCAGGCTTAGGTTTTTATATATAAAATATTTGAGGTGAAAGGAATCAATTGCATGAAAGGAAATAGTCCCAGAGAGGGGAAACCAGTTTACTAAAGGTCATGCTTTGAGCTGAAAGCAGAACCAGGAGGAAGCTTGGCTTCTACCTTACTGCCCCTGTACAGCCTGTGTCCTCTCCTAGGAACATGGCTGACCTCACGGGACTGATTTTTCCAGGGGCTGTAGGACAGGGGTGGGCAATGGTAGGGCCTGAGGGAAGCTTCCCATTGCCAGAGGTCTCATTACCTGAGCCCTGGGCTCACTTACCATTAGCTTTTCTGTTTCAAAAAGGTGTTTGGTATCCTGGAAAAGGCCAAGGAGAAGTATGGAGTGGACGACTACTCAGTGAGCCAGATCTCTCTGGAGCAAGTCTTTCTGAGCTTTGCCCACCTGCAGCCCCCTGCCACTGAGGAAGGATGATGAGGACCTGTCTGCTGCCTCTAGGGCACCAGGCAAGGAAGGGGCAAGCCAGTGCTCAGTTGTGCATCCTCTCCTCCCCAGTTATTCTTTTCCTTTATTTTTAATCATTCTTTTCTATGATGGACATAAAAAAAATCAAGGCAGTATGCAGAGATTGGACCAAATGTGTCAACGCCTACAGGCTGGAATCAGTATGCAGATATCCACTCCTAAAGGCAGACTCTGGAATTCTAGTCCCAGACCCAAAGCCACCCTGCAGTGTATGCAGACAGGCTGTGGTCTTTAGATGGAAAGTTGGTCCAGGTCAGACTGTAGCTGGCCTGGGGAAGGGGGTTGAATTTCTCTACTGGCTCACAGAGAGTACCCAGGTTTACATATGCTACTAAGCTTCACTGAGGAAGAAAAAGGAAGCCAACAAGGATTAGCTACAACATGGACCTCCAGGCTTCCATGAATGGGCAGAAAAGTTGCAAATCACTATCCAAGAAGGGAAGATGTCGGCTGTGACTAGGTGCTGAAACCTTGGCTTCCAGTGCATCTGAAGATGCATCCTGGGCATCAGTGTTCCTTAGGGTATGGACACTACACCAGGCTGAGCTGATCCTGAGCCAGGTGTCATCCCACAGGATCTGCAGCACAGGAAAGATGTGGCCAGACTTGAAGCACAATCCTCTGTTCCCAACTCTGTGCCTTTCGAGAGGTCACAGGACAGTCAGGGATCATTACAGGACTGAGTGGACATCTCGTGAGGATACACTAAATATATTGTGATTCTGTCCAGAAAATAAAGGCTGAAGGGACATGATCAGTCTTGGAGTCACACATTTTCTGAGAGGGAGGGGGTGTGGGACTCGATCACTGTCCCATAATCCAATTTTCAAATACAATGATCTCATTACCAAGTTTCAGATAAACAAAAGCAGGAATTGGCTTTTCTCAACAGAGAGGAAGCTTACAGGATTTACTGCTAGGAGGTGAAGATTAATTTAATCTAGGAGGTAAAGGAACAGGCCTGGGCTACTTTTCTTGTAATAAAATACCTGACAAAGGAGCTGGAGAGCTGGCTCAGCAGTTAAGAGCACTGGCTATTCTTGGAGGACTCAGTTGGGTTCCCAGAACCTACATGACTGCTAACAACCATCTGTAACTATAGTTCCAGGAGATCTGATGCCCTCTTCTAACCTCCATGGGCATTGTAGGACATGGGTGCACTTATATACATGCAGGCAATACACTAATACACATATAATGAAATATTAAAAACAAAATACCTGACAAAGCAACTTAAGGGTTTGTTTTGGCTCACAGTTCAAGGTAGGCTTATCGTGGTGGAAGTCATGGTGGCAGGGTTTGAGATGGTTGGTCATATTGCATCTGTATTCAGGAACACTGGTGCTCAGCTCGCTTTGCTTTTTCCTTTTTTTCAGTACAGGACCCTAGCACATGGAATGATACCACCCACATTTCCTGGCATTGGCTCAGTCTGCCAAGAAGGGGGCCAAGCAAAGGAGGCTGGAAGAGGGAGATAAACAGCAACTGAGACCAGACCTAAATTAATTCAATCTAGAAACTCCCCAACATACATGCTCAAACATTTGTTTCTATAGTGAGTCTAAATCAAGTTGACAGTCATCAAGATTAACTATAATGGCCAGGAATGGTGTCACATTCCTTTAATCTCAGCACTTGAGTGGCGGAAGCAGGTGGATCACTGTGAGCTCCAGGCCAGCCTGGTCTACCTCATGAGACTCTGCCTCAAAAAAGGTGGGCAGGGGTGCCAGAGAGATGACTCAGCAGTTAAGAGCATTTGCTGCATTTGCAGATGATATGAGTTCAGTTCTCACATGGGTGCTCACAACCACCTATAACTCCAGTTTTAAAGGACCCTGGCTATTCTGGCCTCCATGGGCACTGCATGCAGGTAGTGCACATTACATGCAGTCAGGCACACATACAACACACACACAGAAACATAATAAATCTTTTCAAAGAAAACAAGATTAAAGCTGGGTGTGGTATTGCATGTCTTTAGCCCCAGCACTTGGGAGGCAGAGGCAGGCAGAGCTCTGTTTGAGGCCAGCCTGGTCTACACTGAGTACCAGGCTGTCTAGGGCTACAGGGAGACCCTGTCTCAAAAAGATGATTTAAAAAAAAATGATTAACCATCTTTGGTCCCAAAAAGCCCAAAGATAAGTGAAAAAGCAGGTCAGATAACTGCCCAATTAACAAATCCCATCTACAACAACCAAGAAAACTATGTGGGTTAGTATAGGACCCCTGATTCCAACATCACCAATAGGCACACAGAAAATTTCCAGAATTTTTTTCAACATGAGTCCCTCTTATGCACTATTACTTCTTGTGACTTTCTAGAAATCTCTGCATTCTAGAATTTAGTTTTAGGAAAACTTTGCCTTTGAGAAGTCACTGGCCACAGGACAGTCAGGGACCACTAGGGACAGTCAGGGGCCACTATAGAGTTGAGTGGCCATCTCTTGAAGATACACTGAAGATATTGTGGCTGTCCAGAAAAAGACTGAGAGGCATGATCACAGTCTGAGTAACACATGCCGAAAGTTTCACTTAAGAAAGGGTTAATTTGGGTTCACAGTTCCAGGTTAGACTCCCATTGTGGATTGAGATAGCTGGTCACATTACATCTACAATCAAATAAAGAGCAACAAATGCTTCTGCTCAACTCAATATCTCCATTTTATAAGTCCAGGATATGATCCCAGGGAACATTGCAAACCATAGTGGACAGGTCAGTTAACCTAAGTTAACCACCTCAGTTAACCTAAGAGAATCCTTCAGGGGCATGCCCAGAAGACCATGTCCCAAGTGATTTAAACACTGCCCAAGAGAAATGATTCACTAGCAGGTCTGCAGTCTCTGGGTTTGGCCTAGAATTGAACTCTTGTCGAAAGTGCTAGGAAATAGAGTCCAGAGAGAACATGGCTACCTGGCCACATCCACACCTGCCCAAGAGCCCTGCCACAGGGAGGCATCCTTGAACTTGATCTAAGCCCATATTAGAGATTTAAGAATCTGCCATTTTTCTCCTTCGATAACATTTTTTTATTCTTTCGGTCTTTTTTGAGACAGTTTCCTTGTAGGCCCAGCTGGCCTGGAACTCACAGAGACCCGCCTGCCTCTGCCTCCTGAGTGCTGGGATTAAAGGTGTGTGCCACCACACCCAGGTCTTTTGACATTAAAAAAAAAAAATTTTTGCTAGGAGTGGTGGCGCAAGCCTTTAATTCTAGCACTTGGGAGGCAAAGGCAGGCGGATCTCTGTGAGTTCAAGGCCAGTCTGGTCTACATAGTGAGTTCCAAGCCAGCTGGGGCTACAGGGAGACCCTGTCTCAAAAAGAAAAACTTTTAAATGAGAATATAAGGCGTTATATATTTTTAAAAATATTTTATTATTTTTATGTGTATACATGTATTGCCTGCCTGTAGGTAAGTGCACCCGTGTCATGCAACACCCACAGAAGACAGAAGCTGTTGGATCCCCTGGAACTGGAATTACCGACAGTTGTTAGCTGCCATGTGGGTGCTAGGATTCGAACCCGAGTCTTCTCCAAGAACAGTCAGTGTTCTTAACTGCTGAGCCATCTCCCCAGCCCCATATCATTATATTTTCAAACTGTGTGTTTTAATGATTCTCCTTCCCCTTCTCCCAAACCCCCATATTTTTATTTTTTTATTTTTATTTATTTGTTTATTTAGTCTTTTTGAGACAGGGTCTCCCTATAGCTTCAGTTGGCCTGGAACTCACTATGTAGCAAGGCTGGCCTCGAACTCACAGAGATTCCCCCTGCCTCTGCTTCCCAAGTGCTGGAGTTAAAGGCATGTGCCACCATGCCCAGTATCCCCACCTTTTTTTTTTTAATTTTTACAAAAACTTTGAGAATTTCATACATGCATATAAGGTGTTTTGATCAAATCCATGCCCACTCCCTCCCCCTCCAACATTCCGCCCTCTGAAGAGGTAACTCTAAAATCTTTTAAGGATTAGATACAAGCTCCCAAATACTTTGACATTTTTGGCCTTGGAACAGAGTATGAAGCTACCAGGCCCAAGGACATTTTGACTTTTAGCCAAGAAACTGGCTACATTTCTTTGGGGTCTTTTTACCCTAACTGCCTAGCCAATTCCTACCTCCTATTCTTATCACACTATCATCTGAAGGGGTTACCCAAATTGCCAATAGGGAATAGGGACACCAACCACTCTGGCTTCTTCCATTTTTGAACAGGGATGCAGTATGAGGCAACTGGAGTACCCCTTCAGTGGGTCTAAGACTCCCAAATTGCATAACTTTTGTCTCTAAGGTATTCCCACCTTTTTAAAAGGGTACAAAAGGGTATTTCGGGGCTGGAGAGATGGCTCAGCGGTTAAGAACACTGACTGTTCTAGCAGAAGACTTGGGTTTGAATCCCAGCACCCACATGGCAGCTAACAACTGCCCATAACTCCAGTTCCAGGGGATCCAACAGCCTCTTCTGTCCTCCGTAGGCACTTCACGACATGGGTACACTTACTTACATGCAGGCATAACATTCATATACATAAAATAAAAATATTTTTTTAAAAAAGGTATTTTGACTCAGGGGGGACAGCTATATAAGACATACATATGAAATAAGTCTACATCAGTACATATAGAGAACTTGCTGTCTTCTCAAGAGCGGGATGAAGCTGCCAACAAATTATGAGGACTGTCACAACCAGATCCTTTTAGGAGGATTGTCCTGGTTTTCTTTCTCATGCTGATGATGAAACACTCTACCAAAAGCAACTTGGGGAGGAAGGGATTTATTTGGCTTACACTTCTAGGTCACAGTTCATCATTGAGGGAAGTCAGCAGAAACTTAAATAGGCACTTGAAGCAGAAAACTTGGAGGAACACTGCTTACTGGCTCATGCTTAGCTAACTTCTGTACACAGCCCTGAGGAGTGGTGCCACCCACAGTGGACAGGCCTCCTACATCAACTAATTGCCAAGGCAATCTCTTACAGACATGCCCAACCTGACCCAGGCAGTAACTCAACTGAGGATTCTCAGATGTCTTTAGGCTTGTCAAGTTAACAATTAAGGCTAATCAAGACAAACTCATCCTTAGCCATGAAAGGAGGCCCAGGCCACTGCATAGGGATCAGGAGGGGCAAACACATACAATACACAGCTATGGACAGGATCCTGGACTCAGAATGTCTGTGGGAGGAGCCCAAAGTGGCACCCAAGCAAATTCTGAGGGAGCAAACCTAGTTAGAGGGGACCCCAGGAGCTGCAGGAAGGATCCAATGTGGCCCCTCTAGGGCATCTACAAGGCTGAATAGTCAGTACTGGAGTGTCATCAGTGGCACAGCCAAGACCAAACCTCAGGAGCCCATATCCGTTGGCTTTTTTGAACTGTTGCAGTTCTGGGGATAGCAAGGGGAGGAGCAATAGATTCCTGGGACAACAGTGTAGCCTGTCCCCTTCATGTTCACTCCCAGACCACTAAGGCTCAAGCTCTTTCCAGTTGGCTGCTGCACCAGGCTGTAGAGGTTGTCTCCTCTGCTCCCCATGGCCTGACCCAGTTCCCATGGGGCCAAGAACAAGGCCTGTGGGACAGCTTATGTATTTTATGCTTTAATCCTGCCTGCTCCAACAATGTAGCTCAACTGAAATACTCAGTGTCTGTACATAGAACATGGGAGTAGGGGAGAGAGGATAGAGAGAGGGTAGGAAGCCCTATGTGGGCTGTGGCCAACCCCTCATTGCTTTCCTAGGTTTGAAGGGAAAGGACTGCCAGGAATGGTGGCCCATGCCTGTAATCCCAGCACTTGGAAGGCAGACGCAGGATGATCACCAGAAATTTGAGACCAGCCTGGGCTACATAGACAGACTCTGTCTAAAACAAATAGAAGAGCTGTCCTCATCCAAGACAATATAGGTTACAGGTCAAGGAGAACTCACTCCCAGGTCCCTGGAAAGGGCCTGCTACAAACATCAGAAATTTCAGATCACTAGTTAGAAGTTTCTCAGCCATGTATGAAGTATAGAGAAGGCAGTACAGAGCTTTTCATCTTTAGAGCTCCATCCATCCACCTTTTCTGCCATCCCACAGAGGGCCTCCCCCCTTGAAGTTACTTTTCCAGGTACAGAATCTGTAGGAAGCTGGGGCTGTGGGGAGTCGGGGCAAGGAAGGCACAGCTGACCCCAAACCTTCAGCAGCTCCAGGACATCATTCACTGTGTTGTCCAAAGCACAGACATTCTTCTACACTGGTACAAGGAAACCTGGATACCAGGACATGTCCAGCAGAGGGTGGGTGGCTCCCCCTACCATGTGTGCCAGCACTGTCCACCTGAGCTGGTGACAGTGCTAAGCCAGGTCCTCTCCTCACCTAACAGGTCCTTCTGGTCAGAGCTTTGGGCAGGCAGGAGGGAACTGAAGTGGGGTCCTTGCCTTCTTCAACACATGGGACTTCCCAGACACTCCTAGGGCCCAGCCCACACCCCACAAATATGAGCATCCAATGCCTCCAAGGTTGGAGCAGTTTGTCACCAGGATATAGTTGGTCATATTGGCAAGCTTAACTGCAGACTTGCTCCAGGATCAGCTGACACAGTTCATGGCTTTGCCACATGAGACCACACCCACTCCACCACAGGAATATACCCTCAAAAACAGCTCAGATATCAACACCTTTGATTTCTTTGCAGAAACGGACACATTGCTTTAAGCTGAGGAAAAGCCCAGGCTCCCAACCCTGCAGTTTAGAAGCCATGGGCTGTTCCAGAGGGCATCTTGTGCCTAGTACAAGAGTCCAGAGGTAGGGTTAGAGAGATGGCTCAGTACAGACTGCTCTTACAGGGGACCTGGGTCCAATTTCCAGTACGCATATGGTGGCTAACAACAGTTTATAACTCCAGTTCCAGGGGCTCCGACACCCTCTTCTGACCTCCCAAGAGCACCACACGACACAGGTACACCTACACACATACAAGCAATACACTCATACACATAAAGAGTCCAGAGGTGTAGTCAGGTATGGTGACCCACACCTTGAGTCAGAAGTAGGTGGGTCTCTATGAGATTCAAGCCACCCTGGTCTGTATTGCAAATTCTACCTGCTAGAGACTCAGACCCTCAGGGTCACCCCTTACAATGAAAACTGATAGCCCTTTCAAGGATTCTGGTTATCACCTCTTCCCCACTCCATCCCTCCTAAGTCAGGCCCCAGGCCTTGGTGACCAGACCCTCAGCTGCCTTCTTCCGTTTCCCCAACACCTCCCTCTCTTCAACCTACCAGGCCTAACCTGGCCTTGGCATGCAACCTGGTTTGAGCAGTGGATAAAAGAGCTTCTTTGACACAACTTGAGAGGTTGTGATGCCCATCCAAAGGTTGGGCCTGGCCTCTACCACAGCCCAGGTTGGCCTTAACCCTGGCAGTGTCTCAGCTGTCAGTCTCCAAAGTTGGACATCTCAGAGGCCATTAGGCCTGGGAAAATGCTCTGCCTTAACATTGGTTAATTCTCAAAGTTAAAATGACTCTTTGCTTGCTGGGCATGGTAGCCCACACCTTTAATCCCAGCACTCAGGATGCAGAAGCAGATGGATCTCTGATATCCAGGCTCCAGCCTGTTCTACATAGTAAGTTCCAGGATGGCTGGGGCTACAGGGACAGGGGGAAAAAAAAAAAATGCTCTGATATCACCAGCAGTAGATTGTGAGCCCTGGGAAGGGGAAGAAGGGAGAGAGCTCAGAACAATGGCCAGAGCTCACAGCATTCCTGTGATGATGGGCTGTGGCCAACTACTAATGCACCCTCCAGCAAAACAGGGCCAAGGACACCTCTGTTCCCAAAGACCCCAGCTCCATGAGCCTTAGCCACCATGGCCTCAGCAGGTTGGCACTAGGCTAGGATAAGAGCTGTTAGAATTCCTGGAAGGGGTCCAGAGCTGCAGCTCTCACTATTCTAAATGTTTCTGCTAATCCATAAATGGCAAAGGTCAGGTAAGGCATGGTAATACATGTCTTTAATCCCAGCTCTTAGGAGGCAGAGGCAGGCAGATCTCTGTGAGATTGAGGCCAACCTAGTCTACACATCAAGTTCCAGGGCTACACAGTGAGGCTATGTCTCAAAAATTTAGCCGGGTGTGGTGGCGCACGCCTTTAATCCCAGCACTCGGGAGACAGAGGCAGGTGGATCTCTGTGAGTTCAAGGCCAGCTGGTCTACATAGTGAGTTCCAGGACAGCTGGGGCTACAGGGAGACCCTGTCTCAAAAACACCAAAAAAAAAATTTTTTTTTTAAATAAAAAGCTGGGCTTGGTGGCGTATGCCTTTAGGCCCAGCACTCAGGAGGCAGAGGCAGAGGCAGAGGCAGGCAGATCTCCTTGTGACGGAGACCAGCCTGGTCTACACAGCAAGTTCCCAGCCAGCTGGGGCTACAAGAGAGACTTTTTGTCTCAAAAATATTAAGCAAAACACAAGGGCTGGAGAGATGGCTCAGCGGTTAAGAACACTAGCTGTTCTTGCAGAAGACCTGGGTTCAAATCCCAGCACCCACATGGCAGCTAACAACTGTCCATAACTCAGTTCCAGGGGATCCAATGGCCTCTTCTGTCCTCTGAAGGCATTGCACGACATGGGTGCACTTACTTACATGCAGGCAATACATGCATACATATAAAAACAAAATATTAAAAAAAAAAACCCACAAAACCCAAGACCTTCATCTTCCAAAGCCCAACAGCTTATAGTAGATTTGATTAGGAAAATCCATATTTACCAACAATATGATCAAAATGTTTGAGTAAATCATGCTCTTAAATTTAATATAAAATGTGTTAAAGCTTGTAGACATACCAAATTAAGTTACTTTGGAAGATTAGGGGGAAAAGCAGAGGGGCTGTTAGCTAGTTCTGTCCTCACCATCTTCTGGTTATGCTGAGATCACTGGGCTGACCCCTCATCACTGCTGTTCTGGACCCAAGGCTCTGAGGTCTAAGGCTGCCAGAAGCCTCTCTGATCACTGGCTCCACTGAATCCTCAGAACACTACATACTGCCTGCTTGACCATAAAGCCACCCCACACTCATCTCAGAACCTCCAGGCCTCTTTCCTACAGCAAGCCCCCAAGAGGCTGCCCTTTTAGACTCACTTTGCTGGTGAATCTTGCTCATCAATTTGATTGAATCTGAAATTAACAAAAAGACCTCTTCCCACACCTGTTAGGGATTTTCATGATTAGGTTAAATGACGTGGGAAGACCCACCCTAAATGTAAGCTGCAACTTCCAGTGGCCTCCCATATATAAGGAGGTCCAAGGTTTGCTTTCATTGTTCCTTGCTGGCTAGTTCACCTATTCTGTTGTGCTCCCATCTTGGAACTGAAGACTAAGAATCCTCCAGGCCTCAGTGCCAGACTGAGAATGTGAAGGCATCTAATCTCTTAGGCTGAGAAGCTAACTGTGAAGTGTGAAGACAGCCATTGTTGGACTATGCAGACAGAATCCTGTAAGTAAATCTAATGTGTATCATAGTCTATCAGTTCTGTTCTTCTAGAGAACCCTATTACATACACTCACCCTTCATGCCTGACCAAGGCAGATAAGATAGTAAAAAAGGAAATTCAACTGAATACTTCTTCCCAGTATCCAGTGCCCAGCTCCTTGGACGATATCTTCTCTCTCCAGGGTCACCAAGTTGCACCCTGGCCTCTTCCTGTCCTTCACTTCAAAATATAATGGAATTCTTAGTCACCTTAGTTCTTTTCTCCTAAAACTCATGTTGGATCTGCCCCTTTCTCTCTTCCTTGCTGTTTCAGACTTGTTTAGATAATCTTTGGGGCTCTTTGCGTCTCCATTCCTTCTGCAAATAATCAGAGCAAGGAAAGTGCCAGGCAGAGTGGGTAAGCAGAGGCACCACGGCGGGACTTACTAAATAGCCTTGGGCATGGCCCGGGACATCTACGCAATGAGTGACCCTCGTTCAGTCTAGCCATACAACTGGACTCCCTTTTCTCCCAGCAAGCCTGGGTGCCTTTGCACTTGCTGCTCCCTCTGCCGTACATGCCCTTTCAGGGAGGTATCCTCCTCAGAGGCACCTCACCCTCTGCGTCTTCATTTCGTCAAGCTCTTTCTTTCTGGCCTCACTAGCCGACCGCCGCAAAAGCTTGCTAAATTCCGCAGGCTCAGAGACCGCGTCTACACGACCCCCAGACACTTTTGATTGCACGAACCCACTGTCCTTACTGGCCCATCCCTTCTGAACTCCCTGGGCTTTACTGGCTTTGACTGGGGCCGCAGTACTACACAAAGCCGAGCCACAGAGCCTGGAGCCGCCCCGGTCCCAAAGCGCAGGCGTAGCAGGGAGAGCCTGCAGGATAATCACGTCCACCCAGGTCCGCGAGGCTGCCAGGAGGCACAGCCCTCCCAGCCCCAACCAGCCAATAGTCCTCGAGATCCAGCATGAGAGAACGACTCCCGGCAACCCCAGACTCTGCTACTCAGAATAATATAGTAAGCGCCGCGTCGCTCCGCCTACAAACAGCTTTTGCCCTTTAACACTGGGATGCTCGCATGCAACGGCGGGGGGGGCCTTGACGTCATCACTGCGCGCCGGATGGCAGCGCCTTCCCGCTCCTCAACTCTGACGACAGAGTCGCGCCGGCCTTAGCGTCTGAAAAGAGCTGGAGGAGGTTGCGGCCGCGGGAAGATGTAAGTCCGGGGAGGAATCCGGCGGCATCCGAGCTTCGGGAACCGTCTGCCAGGCGTGGCGGGGCGCATTTTGGAGCTGATCTGCTCCGCAGTCCCGCGGTTGGGTAGAGACCTGCCGGCGAGGTGCAGAACTCTAGGAGAAAGAGTGTTGGCCGGGGACGGGCGGAGTGGGAGGTGTCGAGGCCGCGGCCCGGAAGTGGTCGTGGCTATCGCCGACGGAAGGGCGACCCCGCTTCGTCTCCGCGGCAGCGACCCAGCCAAGCCTGCAGGACTTAGGGCGCTTGCGAGCGCGGCCTCTTCCGGCGGTCGCTCGCTGGACGGTAGACTTGGGCCCTACCTGAGTCGTAGTGAGTGGAAAAAGGGCGGGAGACGAGGTTGGTGTTCGGGGCGTGTGAGGGCGGGTTCGGATTGCCGGCTGGCCTAGAAAGCGGGCCTCCTTCCGGAGTCATTTATTCATTCATTCCAGGGGTGTTTATCAAGCTCCTGCGGGCCGTTTTCGTAGGTCTTGGGGATCCGGCTCGCACGCTTACCGAGCTCACAGGGAGGATCTGGGAAGGTTGTGATTAATGGCAGAGCGATGTGGAGTAGGCTTTCTCTGCCTTTTGTTACTTTGCATGCAGTGTCTGAAATGTACTTTTTATATGTGGAGAGTGCTCTGAAGATTTGTGCTGAAACGCCTTCTGCTCGAGATTTGACTAATTGTTCTCTCCTCTCTTTGGCTATTGGATGCACACCTTTCCGGAGGATGGGGGAGGTGACCAAAGTCCTGAGCTGTTACCTGAATTTGTGTGAACAGAGAACCTCAACCTTTGCTTTCTAGCACTCGACCACACCCAGCAAAGTGTTCGCTTCCTCTGTGATTCTTTCTTTTTAGACTGCTTAAAAGTAACAGGTGGTGCTTGTTTTATTTGGATAGACTGGGGAGGGGCGTAGATCAGTCCTATTCAGTACGTAATTATTGGCCACTGGTAGCCCTTGGATAGCAACCCAAACCGCAATGTTAAAGTTCATACCAGGTTTGAGTGATTTAGTGTGGAAAAACCACAAGTATTTAGTAATTTTATATTGATATGTTAGAAAGATAGTACTTGGGACTGAAGAGACAGCTCAGCCTTTAAGAGCACTGGTTGCTCTTCCAGAAGACCCAGGTTTGAATCCCAGCACCCACATGACAGCTAGCTACCATAACACTCATACATATAAACTAAAAATTAATAAATAAAATATTCTAAGAAAGACTTATTGCCAAGTGTGGTGGCGCACGCCTTTAGTCCCAGCACTCAAGAGGCAGAGGCAGGTGGATCTCTCTGAATTCAAGGCTAGCTTAGTCTACACAGCGAGTTCCAGGGCAGTTGGGGCTATAGTGAGACCGTCTCAAAAAAAAAAAAAAAAAAAGATAATACTTATTATCATATTAAACTTAATTTTGGACTTCTGGTATATATCAGTGATAGAGTGCTTGTCTAGTATGCCCCAAGCCCTGGACTCTTGTTTTCTATCACTGCAAGGAAGAAATCAGAGAAATAGGTTGCACTTATTTTCTGGTGTGACTACACTAGGAAATTGGAGATTGTATACCTGGCTCACACACTTTTGGATGGTGCTGCTCTAAGTGACACCCTCCCCCAGTGATTTTAAGGTGAACTGTTAGGACTTTGTTAAGCATTCAGAATGGAGGTGTAACAAGGTAAGAGTGGATGTGGTATAGTGTGGCATAGAGCTCCTAGGTGGAGAAGCAACTCTTCAAATAGCAGCTAACACTGAGCTTTTCCTGGGTGCCACATCAGATTTATAGAGTAATTTGGTAGAGTGCTTGCCTAGCATACATTCAGTCCTGGGGTCAACCACATAACAGCATGGTGGTATACTCCTGTAATCCCAGCACTCAGAGGTCAGAGAATTAGAAGTTCCAGATCATCAGTTACATGGGGAGTTTGAGGCCAGCCTGGGCTAGAGACCTTGTCTTTAAAGATAAAGTATTAAAAGATGAGTGATGTGTCCAAGATTACTCAGGGAAGCCTGAAATCAAACCCAGGCATGTTTACTGAGCTACTGGATTATGCCCACTGGTTGTCTAAGAACCCTAACCTTATCAGGGGTTGTCTGGTGGGTGGGTGTCTGGAACATGTAGTTCTAGGGCAAGACAGCTTGGAAAATTTTTGTAGTTCTGGAAAGGACCTACACAGATAATACCTTCCATTCATTTGTCCTAAGTCAAGGGTTCTTCTGTCAGAATATTTATTCCACAGTATTTAGACACACCCTGCCTGTGTAAAATCAGAATCTCAATGGTGTGCTATGTCTTATCTTAGTTACAGTCAAGGAACATGAGGCAGGAAAAGTTCAGGTAACATCCTGAGGCCTTTGCTTGTATTTTGCTCCCTAACAGTAGGGAACATGAGGAATAATTTAGTCTTTGAGTAATTGTTACTCTTATCAAGCACATTGTTAAACCGTATGTGGCACATAAGATCTCACCCCATTCCAGCATCTCCTTCCATCCTATTTTTGAAAAACTTCAAGGTGTAGAAAGGTTGAACGTATTGTACAATTAGTTATGCCCACATGACTGCTATCTAGGTCTAACAAGTCATATTTTTCTATATCATTTTACCCACATGATGATCTCACCTTTCATTTTTAAAGTAGTAATAAATTGAATTCTATATGCCTGATAAATCATTAACAAAAAAGTTGGGTGTTTTCAATAACCACCTTAAGCCCTTTTGCTGCTTTTTGTTGTTAATTTTGCTTTTTGAGACAGGGGCTCTCTGTAGCCCCAGCTGACCTGGAACTCACTATGTAGACTAGGCTGGCTTCAATCTCTCAGAAATCTGCGTCACTGACTCCGAAGTACTGGGATTAAAAGCCTGTGCCATCAGATTCAGCATACTGCTGCTGCTACTGTGTGTGTGTATGTGTCCATTTTTCTGTCTATTTTGCTTGCATATGTAAGTACACCATGTGTATACAGTGGCAGTGGAGGCCAGAAGAGGGCATCAAATCCCCTGAAACTGGAATTACAGGTGGTTGTTAGCCACCGTGTGGGTGCTGGGAACCAAACCCTGGTCCTCTAGAAGAACAGCGAGTGCTCTTAACTGATGAGCTGTGTCTCCAGACTTTTTTTTTTTTTTCCTGCTTTTTAATGCTCCTAAGGAATGTTTTATCCATTTGTATTTGGTGTTAAATGTTTTGATGCTGCTGCTGGTCACTCAAAATGATTTTTGCCTCTACTCATCGTCATCCAGTTTATCTCCAAAGGAAATTACCACAGTAAGACACAAATGAGCCTGTCAGGAGGTCTACATGTTCAATATTTCTCGTCTGTAACCAGTGTGGTATTCTGAAAGGACTATAGAGGGCTCATCATCAAACTTAAAAAGTGACCTCTAGGGGCTGGAGAGATGGCTCAGCGGTTAAGAACACTGGTTGTTCTTGCAGAAGACCCGGGTTCAAATCCCAGAACCCACATGGCAGGTAACAACTGTCCATAACTCTAGTTCCTGGGGATCCAACGGCCTCTTCTGACCTCTGTGGGCATTGCACAACACGGGTGCACTTACCTACATGCAGGCAGTATACCCGTACATATAAAATAAAAATAATAATTTTTTTTTTTTTAAGTGACTGCTAATGTTGTGGAACTTCTAAAATAACTGGTAGATGCAGCTACCACCCACCTCCTTAGGGAAAACACAAACTGAAGAATCTTAATGCTCCTATGCCTTAGACATGTAATAAATTATTTATGGTCTTTTTCCAGTTTACAAAAAAAGTAAGACAAACCAAGGTGACTGTTCCTCTTATAGGGGTAGAGGATTGTCCATGAGGACATGACTGTCCCCCTGAGTGTACTCACTGTGTGGACACTTGCTTTTTACTCTATTCCCTTGCTCCCTTGTGCGCTCAACTTTTTATTGCAACGTAGATTCATTGCCTTACCAATTCGTTCACTCTATGTAAATCCTTTTATCTTGTTATTAGGCTGCTCTTTGGCGTAAATTGCAATCGATTAGGGATCGTTTCTCAGACTCAAGTTAGAAGTGAGAGTTCAGATAAGTGAGGCCGCCATTGCTGCTTTGAACACCTCAGAAGGGGAGAATGGATTTATCAGGAGTGAAAAAGAAGAGCTTGCTAGGAGTCAAAGAAAATAATAAAAAGTCCACTAGGTAATCCTTCTGTAAGATTTTTCTAGTGCTATTTTGGGGGTGCTTGCTGCTAGGGACCCTTAGAGAGGGGAGATTTTTGCATTCTACAGTGAATGTCCTAAGCCACAGATCATTTTGCTCTGGGATCTCTGTAGTCTTTTTTTGGAATTCTCTTTTGGGTTGTGCTGTTTCAGGGTTTGGTCAGGGGAACATGCCACCTCACTCTGTTCCTCACCATGCAGGGCTCCCTCTCCTACCAAACGCAAGGACCGTTCTGATGAGAAGTCCAAGGATCGTTCTAAAGATAAAGGGGCTACTAAGGAATCAAGTGAGAAGGACCGTGGCAGGGATAAGACTCGGAAGAGGCGCAGTGCTTCAAGTGGAAGTAGCAGTACCAGGTAGGGGCAGATGGGCCACTGCTATAGCCATGTCTCCCTTCCTGTGAAGTCCTGAGAGAGCTACTTTTTCCTCTTTTTTTCCTCCTCATGGAAGGGTAGGGTGAGAGGGATGCTCATGTATGCTTGATGGAGGCCAGAGGGCAGCTTTGAGTGTCATTCCTCAAGAGCAGTTCATTTTGGTTTTTGAGACACTCACCAATTCAGTAGAGCTGCCTGGCCAAGGGAAGGCTACCTTTTCTTAACTAGTTTACAAGCATCTATACCCTCAGGTTATTAAGATCCTAAGTTAGGGCATACTGGTTTGGTATCTGCTCTCATTGTGTATGGAACACAGTCTTAATATATGATGTACATTGTATCTGGATATGCTCTTAAGTGTGTCTTCATTCAGAATTGTGATTGGGTGGCTCCAAATCTAGAGCTTGTTGAGTTATTTGGGTTTTGTTTTTGTACTTGAAAACTATCCTTTGTCCCTCCTATAGCCCTTTTGTAGTTGAGTTGGGGGTCTGACTTGTGCTGGACTCCTGCTTTACCTTCATTAAGAAAGTAAGGGGTTGCCGGGCGTGGTGGCGCATGCCTTTAATCCCAGCTCTCGGGAGGTAGAGGCAGGGGGGTCTCTGTGAGTTTAAGGGCAGCCCGGTCTACATAGTGAGTTCCAGGAAAGCTGGGGCTAAAGGGAGGCCCTGTCTCAAAAAAGCCAAAAAAAAAAAAAAAGAAAGTAAGGGGTTGCCGGGCGTGGTGGCGCATGCCTTTAATCCCAGCTCTCGGGAGGTAGAGGCAGGGGGGTCTCTGTGAGTTTAAGGGCAGCCCGGTCTACATAGTGAGTTCCAGGAAAGCTGGGGCTAAAGGGAGGCCCTGTCTCAAAAAAGCCAAAAAAAAAAAAAAAGAAAGTAAGGGGTTGCCGGGCGTGGTGGCGCATGCCTTTAATCCCAGCTCTCGGGAGGTAGAGGCAGGTCGATCTCTGTGAGTTCAAGCGCAACCTGGTTTAAATAGGGAGTTCCCGGACAGCGGGAGCTACAGGGAGACCCTGTCTCAAAAAGACCAAAAAAAAAAAAAAAAAGAAAGTAAGGGGTCTATACAGGTGACAGCAGCCTGTCCTTTTCCTGTCTCCCTACAATGTTGGTACTTGTCAGAGAAGGGAGTATGTTCCTCACTGGGAAAAGCAGTGAGGCTTGAAGATACTAGGACAGCATTTCCTCTACAGGACAGTTTCCAGTGTAGATATGTGGCTCTTTTTCATTGCTGTTACACCCTGCCATGTCCTCAGGTCTCGGTCCAGCTCAACCTCCAGCTCGGGCTCCAGCACCAGCACGGGTTCCAGCAGTGGCTCCAGCTCCTCTTCTGCATCTAGCCGCTCAGGAAGCTCTAGCACATCCCGCAGCTCCAGTTCCAGCAGCTCCTCTGGCTCTCCAAGCCCTTCTCGACGAAGGCACGACAATAGACGGCGCTCCCGCTCCAAGTGAGTCCCAAGTTGATAAGCATAGATTGTACATTACTCTGTTTATTAGAAAAGTAGATCCAGGGCTGGCTAGATGCTGCCGAGCCTATGACAAGCCTGAGTTTGATCCCTGGGGAGTCATGTGGTGGGTGAGAACAATAGTTCAAATTGTCTTCTGACTACCACACATACATTGTAGCTCACAGGCAAATGTATTTTGTTGTTGTAGATCAAGCTGAGCATGGTGGTACATACCTTTAGTCCCAGCGTTGGGAAGAGGCAGGCAGATCTCTATGGGTCAAAGTCATCTTAGTCTACATAGTTTGTGGCCAGCCAGAGCTATACAGTAAAACTCTCTTAAAACTCTCTTTAAAGAGTTTTCCTTCCTTCTTTGCAGAAGCTGTTACAGATAATATCACAGTAAAAGGGAATTTCAATATATTCTGGTTGAGGCATGGTCTCACTATACAGCCTAGGCTACTGCTGCACTCTTGACAGTCTTCCTGCCTCGGCCTCATGAGTGCTAGGATTATAGGCTTGTACCACCAGGCCCTGCTAATTGCATTTCCTGGTTTTGTTTTCCCTTTCTTGAAGTGCTGGCAGCCAACTCAGGGCAGTCCTCCTTCCTCAACTTGTTCGCTGGGATTATAGGAATGTGCTACCACATCCAGCTAATACTTTTTCATTATCTCCCCCACCCCTTTTTTTTTCCTTGAAGTGCTAGGTGCCAAACCTGGGGCCTTGCATTGAACTGCAGCCTCAGCCAATTCCATTATATTCTGAATTGACAGAAGCTGACTCTTTCTGATGTTTTATGTTTTGTCAGATCCAAACCACCTAAAAGAGATGAAAAGGAGAGGAAAAGGCGGAGCCCTTCCCCAAAACCCACCAAAGTGCACATTGGGAGGCTCACCAGGAATGTGACCAAGGTAAGGATCACATCCATGGGGCAATCCGGGAGGAAGAGACTAGCAGGCCTGTGACCACACGTGCATCTAGAATGCAGACTTTCTTCTAGAGGATTGGTGTGGTGGTCCATGATTTGAGTCCTTTTAATGGACTTCAGAATGTTTCCACATTACTGAGGTTTTACTCAGCATCTCATGAATTCTTTTTGACTCTTAAATGATGGATGGGAGAACAATAGTGTGACCTTTCCCTCTAGGATCACATCATGGAGATATTTTCCACCTATGGGAAAATTAAAATGATTGACATGCCTGTAGAAAGGATGCATCCTCATCTGTCCAAAGGCTATGCATATGTGGAATTTGAGAATCCAGATGAAGCCGAGAAAGCACTGAAACACATGGATGGAGGTGGGTGATCTGGGAGCAAACACCCCCCCCACACATACCACCTCTTCTTGCAGAAACCCTATACCTTGTGGGGACCTTTGGAGCTGTTTTCCTACCCAGATGCCTCTCAGACTCACACTAGAGTTCTTTCCAGGTTCTGCTTCTTATGCAGTATGGGTGTGTTTACCAAAAACATGTTTGATGGAGCACTACTCTGAGAAGAAAAATTCTGCAAATATGAATATATTAGCATTTTAAGAAATTTTCAATCTGTTAAATTTATGGATCACATGAAACTTTTCTTACAAAGAATATATTTGACTCTTGATGTGTGAATATTTATTTCCTTTAGTCATTTCTGAGAGTCATTTTCTATTCTGTCAACATTTCAGGGTTTTTAGGATTACTTTGCTGGATGATACATTTGCTAAATTCACAAAATGCATCCATCTCTTTAACATTGTAATTTTAACTGTAATATTTATAGCTGATTTGTGGGTCAGAGTGTTTTTGGAGCACCTGAGCACCTATGAAATAGTTTAGGTGGCCAGTTTTTAATTTTTATTTTATGTGTATTTTGCCTACATGTATGTGAGTGCCCCACATGCATACAGTGCCCAGGGAGGCCAGAAGGGGTGTTGGATATCCTGGAACTAGAGCCATAGGTGGTTGTTAGCCACCCTATAGGTGCTGGGAACTGAACCCTGGTCTTCTCCAAGAGCAGCAAGTACTCTTAACCACTAAGCTGTCTCTCTAGCTCCTAGGTTGGTTGGTTGTTTTTGATAATTGCTGTTGAGTATGGATTTTCTTTGACACTTGGCCATTTTTCTTTTAATTCATTTTAGTCCCTCTAAAATGTTGCAGGAGCTCAGTATAAGCTGCCCCTGTCATTCACCTAAGCCTATGAATCACACCTTTATTAGAGTCTGCCCATCATCTGGTGTTTGTCAGAGTCTGAGCATTTGCTAATCAGCTAAGAACTCAGGGAACTTGGAGACCTCCAGGGTGGGTTTAACTATAAGAATTCTAACCATGGGGCTGGAGAGATTGCTCAGCAGTTAAGAACACTGGCAGTTCTTGAGGAAGACCCAGGTTCAAATCCCAGCACCCATGTGGCAGCTAACAACTGTCCACAGGTCCAGGGGATCCGACAGCCTCTTCTGTCCTCCAAGGGCATTGCACAACAATACACGCACACACATAAAATAATAAATAAATTTTAAAAAAGAATGCTAAACTTTAGCCCCAGCTGGCATGGAACTCACTGTGTAGACCAGACTGGCCTTGAACTCAACAAGCAATCAGCCTCCTGAGTGCTGAGATTAAAGGTATGCCATTAAGCCTGACTAAGGTTCCGATAAACTTTTGTGTATGTGACCCTTACTGGAACTGGCCAGGTGCTCTCTCTTATCTAGTTAGTGCAGTGAAATCTTTATTTGAGCTATTTTGCCTATGGGCCAGGGGCTACCTTAGGCTGGGTTTAGCTAGGCCTCTTGAGTATAAATGAGTGTACCTGGGTTAGCTTCTCTCAGGGTAGGAACTGAGAGGATGACAGCCCTATGCCCTTAGTTGACACTGAAGGAGCTGGGTTTGGGTTCCTAGGTCTGCAGTTCAGTGTCCTTTGCTTTTTTCTCCCTGAGACATGGAAAGTTCCCAGGGCTTCTTTCAGGTACTGCCATCTTCTCTCCCTTTTGCATATACTGTGGTGCATATACGTACGTGCATGTCACCTGCTTAAATACTGTCTACAAACTAACATCCTAGAGGTCTCTTTTTTAGACTTTATTTTTTTAAGATTTATTTTTACTCTGCATATATGTATGTGTCTGTCTGTCTGTGCACCTAAGTACTGGAGCCCAGGTAGGCCAGAGACATCAGATCCCTTGGAACTGGAATTACAAGTGGTTAGTAGCCATCTGGCATGGGTGCTGGGAGTGGAACTAAGGTCCTCTGGAAGACTCGTACATGCTTTTAACCACTGAGCCATATCTCCAGCCCCCCTTTTCAGACTTTTAAGGCAAAGTGCTTGATACCTCCTGAGACTTCTTAAGATTTATTATTATTGGGGGCGGGGGTACGTAAGAGTTGTATGAGGAGGTCAGAAATATTAGAATCCCCTGAACTGTAGTTACAGGCAATTTTGAACAGCCAGACATGAGTGCTGGAATCAGCCTTGGGGCTTCTACAAGAACAGTATCTATTCTTAACCAATGAGCCCATCGCTCTAGCCCCAGTTATGACTGTTTTAACTTCTTAGTCATCTTCTGAATTCTTTCTCCTTTGATCATATATTAGTTGTAGAAGTGTTATAGAAGTGAACACCACCAAACTGAGCTGGGGGAGCTTAAGTTACAGGGGTCAGCTTTAATGGTTTGCTTATTGGGAGGAATTGGCCCTGGAGTGGCTCCTGTGGTGGCAGCCAGGAGAGCAGGCCACCATCAGGTGTCCATTTTCTCACCCAGCCCTAGCTTCCCACTGTCCTCAGGTCAGGAGCCCGGTCCTACCAGGAGCTTCCATCCGGCCCTCGACCCCTGGGCTTACCTGCCATTTGTTCCACTGCTGGTCTCTGTGCCTCTACCTAGCAGGTTCCAGCACATTCTCTTTAGCTTTGCTTGGGTAGTGAATCCTCTGAGCAGCTCTCCTAATGCCTCAATTACTGCCCCTTTCTAGGTCTCATGCCTGTTGTAGCTTTTCCTGGTGAAACTTAAGTGAAGATGTAGCTGTTTCTGGAATAGACCTGTTCTTGTTCACTTTAGCATGCTCAGTACTCAGTAGGTGTGTTTTTGTTTTGTTTTGAGACTATCTCTCAGTATGTTTCTCAAACTGTGACCCACCTGCTTCATCCTCCTGAGTACTGGGATTTCAGATAAAAACCGTATCTGGCATGGTATAAATGTTTATTTAGAGATCTTATGGTTCGGTTCTTTATTCTACAGGGCAAATTGATGGCCAGGAGATCACTGCTACTGCTGTATTGGCCCCTTGGCCTCGGCCACCCCCTCGGCGATTCAGCCCTCCCAGGAGAATGCTACCACCACCTCCCATGTGGCGCAGGTCACCCCCACGGATGAGGAGGAGGTGAGTCAATTTGGAGTCTTTCTGGACCCATCTGGCCTCCTTGTGTGATTTACAAACCTAAGTGAGCCAGGTGTGCATCAGCACTCAGGAGCCAGAGACAAGTGATCTCTGAATTCCAGGCTAACCAGGCTACAGAAGACCCTGCTCAAACAAAACAAAAACACTCAAACACCTAAGTTGGTGGCATTGGGACTGGTCAGGGAAAGGGATCATCAGTGCATGACAGTGACAGCCAGGTGCACTACATGTTTGCTTCTTTGTTTTTAGGCAGGGTCTCCCTTTAGCCCTAGCTGACCTAGAACTTGCTACACCCAGCTAATCTCTGCCAGCACTACCTACTCTCCGCCTTATCCCCAGTGCTGGGACTAAAGGCATATGCTACCATTATGCCTGGCTACATGTACTACTTCTTGAGTCTGAGCTGTCCTGGGTCCTGTGAGGTCAGTACAGGCCCTCTGCCCTTTAACAGCTGAGACAACACTAGGCCATCAGGGGCATAGCAGAAGCCACAGTTGTGAACTAAAGCACAGGATTGTTTTTAGAAAAGGCAATTTTAAGCCAGGCATGGTGGTGCATGCCTTTAATCCCAGCACTTGGGAGGCAGAGGCAGGTGGATCTTTGTGAGTTTGAGGCCAGCCTGGTCTACATAGTGAGTTCCAGGACAGCTGGGGCTACAGGGAGACCCTGTCTCAAAAAGACCAAAAAAAAAAAAAGGCAATTTTGCCTCCACAGCTTTGCTGCTTGGAGGTTTTGGTTTTGACTGACATGGTTTCGCTCTTCCTACAGGTCTCGCTCCCCAAGACGCAGATCACCTGTGCGCCGGAGGTCCCGCTCTCCTGGCCGCCGACGCCACAGGAGCCGCTCCAGCTCCAATTCCTCCCGATAAGCAAAGCCATTAAAGCTCACTCCTGTAACTTAAGTTCCCCCAGCTCAGTTTTGTCACTTCTAGCCAAAGGAGGATCAGTAGGGAAGGATCCCTTACCCAGTCTTTGAAGACATCAGTTGAGACGGCTCTCTGCAGGAGGATTCTTGCTGCAGAGCTGCTATTGGTTCAGACTGTGTTCATAACAGTGCCCTGTAGTTTTCTGGCTAGAAAGTTCACCCTTCCCAATTCCTGAGAGTCTGATGGCAGAGCCAATTGGGGCAAACAAACCTCATTATGGCCACCTAGGAACAGTCAGGCAACCTTGTTACATCCTTGCTGATGCTGTGCCACATCTGTAGGAAAGAGGACCAAGCTGCTGTTAGGCCTGGCCATGGTTCTTGCTGAGTCCTTTTCAACTTCTAAGGTTAAACACCTTGGAAGGGTCCCTCCACCCCATAGATGGCTGTCTTTCATGCCTCCATGTCTGTCATACTCACTGAAACTGGTGAGCCAGTTCTACAGGGTCATCATGGAGTCTACCCCACCCCCATTTCACCTGCCATTCTTGGTCTTGCAGGTTAAATTGCAGGCAATGTGTATATTGCTTTTTTTCTTTTATTGTACAGTCAGTACTATAAAATTTGTTTTTTGAGTTTTGTAACTTGGTAGCATTTTAGATAAGGCTGTGTTTGTACTTTGTGTAGAGTAAAAGAATTGTGTTGAAGCCGGGCGTGGTGGCACACACCTTTAATCCCAGCACTCGGGAGGCAGAGGCAGGTGGATCTTTGTGAGTTCAAGACCAGCCTGGTCTACATAGTGAGTTCCAGGACAGCTGGGGCTACAGGAAGACCCTGTCTCAAAAAAACAAAAAAAAAAAAAAAATGTGTTAAATAAACAGAATTAGAATGCAATTTGAGTACTGGTTTTACTGCCTCTTCCTGCAACTGATGATTTCTGGTGCCCAACGGACAGCTCCCAAGGCTCCTCTCCAGGAGAGCACAGCATTTGTGTGCCTGGGATGAGGCTGGTCATAAACGTGAACAGCAGAGCAAATAAGCTTCACATTCTACCTGAGACTATGTTAGGAAGCTGTGGAATAACAAGCTTTTCTGCCTCAAATACTGGTTCTGGCCTGCTGGAACTCTGTCTGATTACATCCTCAGCACCGAAGAAAAAAGGGGTTCATGCCACAAGGAAGATTTGGAAATGTTTAAAATGATAGAGGAGGATCTGGAGAGTTTCAGTGGTTAGCAGTGGTTTTTGCAGAGGACCAGGGTTCAGTTCCCAGTACCCACTTGGTAGCAAACCAACAACCATAACTCCAGTTCCAGGGGATTGGATGCCCTCTTCTGACCTCCCTGGGCACTGCAATGCCTGCTGTGCACCTTGGTACAGTGCAAGTAAAACACATTTTAAATGATGGAGTAGAAGTTGCCGGTCATGGAGAGATGGCTCAGCAGTAAAGAGCACTGACTGCTCTTACAGAGGACCCAGGTTCAGTTTCCAGCACCCACATGGTGGCTACAAACCGACCTTAACTCCAATTCCAGGGGAATCCCACACCCTCTTCTGACCTTTGCAGCATTCCATGACAGCAGCGCACTGACATACATGCAGGTGATACACTCATACACACAAAAATAGGAGCTAAAGAGATGGCTCAGCAGTTAAGAACACTAGTTTTCTTGCAGAAGACCCGGGTTTGAATCCCAGCACCCACATGGCAGCTAACTGTCCCTAACTCCTGTTCTAGGGGATCCAACAACCTCTTCTGACCTGCACAGGCATTGCATGACACGGGTGCACTTACCTGCATGCAGGCAATACACGCATAAACATAATTTTATAAAAATGTTTTTAAATAAATACAGGAAGCCACTTTCACTATTGATACAAATAAAAATACACACGAGGGAATTTTCCCCCCCACACCCCAGGCCTTCCAGGTTTACTCCTGGGAGGGGAACGCAGGCTACCAAGCTCCTGCCACCCACTTTCTACAACCCGATCTCCATCCTTAATTTATCTTCCAGAAGCCCCAACTTCGCTGCACGGCTTGGGTGTGGTGAGGTCGGGCTGCCTGCTGCAGAGAGGTGAGCCCCTCGGGCTGATTCCAGCCGCTCCCCACCCCTCCCCTTCCGCCCCTGGCACGGGCTGCCTGCTCAGTACTGCTGCAGCCCGGGCCTTGAGGGCGGGCGCCCTGGACCTGAACCAGCAGTTCCCAGGCTCTCGCGAGGCCCTTCGAATGGCTACCTTGGCGAGGGGCAGAAAAGCCCCAGAGGAAGTCCTGTAGGGAACGCCTCCGGCCACTAGGCTGCTCCACAACCCCTACGGAAAGTCAAGATGGCGCTGGCAGCCGCGGGGCGCGTTCTGCTGCAGGCAGGTGAGTGGCCTGTGCCGGGCGGCGTCGGGAAGGGAAGGGCATGCTGGCGGCCCGGTACATGGCCGCAGAGGCCGAGCGGCGAGCGCACGGCAGGCCCGGGCGCACTTGCTGATGGTGCTCACTGCCCGCAGGTTCCCGGCTCGGGCGCAGGGAAGTCGTGGATGGCGCGCGACGCTTTGCAAACAAGCGGGTGGAGGTGGAGGCCGACGAGGCCGCAGGTGAGTGGGCGCCGCAGCTCCCCGGTTCCACGGCGGAGATGTCCACCAGTGGTGGACATCAGTGTCTGCAGCTGCAAGTCCGTGGGAAACCAGCTGCAGTGAGCGTCTGGATTTTCCGAAAGCAATGAGAAAAAAACCCGTGTAAACGCGGCTTCAGTTTAAAACTGAAGTTCACACCAGGGAGTTTAAATGTGCCTTGTTTGTTATGAAGATAGAAGTGTGTCTTTTTTAAAGTTTGGAGAACACCAACTAAACTAGTTTAAAATGATGGTAGCCTGCTGTGCGTGGTTGCTCAGGCTTATAAACCCAGCATTCTGCAAGAGGATTGTCAGTTCTAGGAGAGTCTGGGCTGCATGAAACCATGTGTCAGAAAAAAAAAAATGAAAAAAGGCAATGAAGGGAAAGAAAAGAATTGGAAATTTTTTCCGAATATTTTCCTAATACCCTAATACTTGCGCTTGGCACAGAGCCAGCAAGTATTTTCCTAATTGAAGTCAGGAAACACAAGTAGGTTACTCCCTAGGAACCGCCTCCTCTCACAAGGCTGAGACTGGAGACAGGTGAAGGAGTTTAAGGCCTGCTTGGGCTACATAAAGAGCCTCTACTTTTTCTTTTTTTTTTTTTTTTTTTGTCTTTTTGAGACAGGGTCTCCCTGTAGCCCCAGCTGTCCTGGAACTCACTATGTAGACCAGGCTGGCCTTGAACTCACAGAGATCTGCTTGCCTCTGCCTCCCAAGTGCTGGGATTAAAGGTGCCACCACGCCCGGCTGAGCCTCTGCTTTTAAGAGGGGAAAAAAAAACAGATGGGAATAGTAAGGCAGGAATTTTCCAAGATAAACAGATAACAGGCTTTTGAAAGAAAATCCTGAGACTGGAGAATAGCTGGGCCCAGAGCTTAGAATTGGAGACCAGCAGCATTTCCTATTTAGAGCAGGCTGCCCTGTGTCCTCTCAGCTCCAGGTGTTGCCATCTCTGGGCGGAAGTGCTACCCAAGGTAGGCCTGCAGGTCACGGTCTCTGTTCTCTGTGCCTCCCTACTTGGTTCTTGATAGTTGGGACTTCCCAAATGGAGCAGTGAAGACCCTGGGCTCAAACGGGATGAATCCAACAGAAGGTTGAAATGTTGAAAGAATCATTTCTGTAACATATTTGAATTTATTTCAAATAGCACAAAAAACACAAACGTATTTCTGTGCTATTTCAAATAGCACAGAAAACACAAACTTATCTAGCATGCTTATCTAGCATGTAAAAGGCTGTAATTTTTTTTTTTTGGTCGTTTTGAGACGGGGTCTCCTAGTAGCCCCAGCTGGCCTGGAACTCAGTATGTAGACCAGGCTGGCCTCGAACTCACAGAGTGCTGGGATTAAAGGCATGCACCACCACGCCCAGCACAAGGCTGTATTTTTTTTTTTTTTTGTCTTTTTGAAGCAGTGTCTCTCTGTAGCCCCAGCTGTCCTGGAACTCACTATGTAGAACAGGCTGGCCTTAAACTCACAGAGATCTGCCTGCCTCTGCCTCCCAAGTGCTGGGACTACAGGCGTGTGCCACCATGCCTGGCTAAGGCTGTAATTTTAATCCCTTAGTACCACAACAATAAAATATTAGAATGGGTAGTGGTAACTATACACCATGCCAAAGTCAATAGATTATATACCTAAAAATTAGAATTTTAGACTTTATGTCATGCGTATTTTACCATAATTTAAGTATATATAAACATATATCTGCACTAGAAAACAAAAGTGAAATAGCAACTATTTTAATTTTTGTTGTTTTGTTTGGTTTTTGTTATTGTTTTGTAGGTAAAGGTTCCAGTTGAAAAACAAATGGAATGTTCCCTAGTGAAAAAAATGTACCTTTAGCTCAAGAGATTATTTTGATTATTTGAGACAGGAGCTCATTTATACTCAGTATGTAACTATACCAAAATGCAGAATGACCTTGAATTTTTGACCACCTGCCTCCATCTACCAAGTGCTGGGATTATTTGGTTTATCTTCAGCCTCTAGCTCACATTTTTAAAGCCTTGTAGTCCCAAACACATAAGCAGCCTGGTCTACATAGTAAGTTCCAGGCCAGCTGGGCTACAGGGAGACCCTGTCTAAAAAAAGTGTTTAAAGTGCCATATTAAAGTTAATTTAGATTCTATTCACATCATTCAAGAAGCATTTATTTAATACCCACTCTGTGCCAGGAATTTGGTTGCTTATCCCAAGATAGCCAAGTTCATCCAAATTTTCTTTGTTAACTCAGTGTTTACCTTTTGCCTCCTTACCTTTCCCCTAGTGTCCCCTGTCCTACTAGACTTCAAGGCCAACTTCAGATAATTTCCTCCCAACTAAGCTTGAGGAGTTTATTTTATGCATGCCTGTGACTAGGTCAGTTACCTCTTTCTTTTAAATCAAAGATACTAAAAGAGTCCATTTGAGCCTTGGTACTCATTCAAGGGAGTGGGTTTGTATTGACATCCAGAGACTCCAGTCCTCAGAAGGAAATGCCTCGTGATTGTTTTGGAAGTCCTGGGGGCTGCAGGCAAAGAGAGATGATGGAGGCTAGCAGCTGCAATGTCCCTTGTGGGCCCCTTTACTTGCCTGTGTGCTGTAGGCAGAATGATCAATGGGCCAAGGACAGTGAAAGGACATCGCCTTTGACATGTTTAGCCATAGTCCCTAACAGTGTGAGCTGAGCCACACTAGAACCCTCCTCCACATTCAGTTCTTTGATTTTTCTTGCTTCTCAGGGAACCAGGGCTGTACTTCCCCTGAAAACTCAGGACTTGCTAGTAGAGAAAAACAAGGAGGAATTACAGAAATCAATGAATTATAGGACGGACAGACACAAAGAACAAGCTGATGAGAAGCAACTCAGGAGATCAGTGACCAACTCTACCCACTGTCATTTTGTAAGAGGTCAGAGTCAGTGACCCAGATCCATGGGACTCTATCTCTGGTGACAACTCCTTAATGTCCTTGAAGCAGTCTGCCCAGAGTGGAAGTGACAAACAGCCACACTGTTGTCAGGTTTGAGTGTAGACCTGAATGTCAAGGGAAACCTTTACTTTTGGGGGGGGGCGGAGGGGTGTCTTTTCGAAACAGGGTCTCCCTGCAACCCTAGCTGACCGGTAACTCACTATGTAGACCAGGCTGGCCTGGAACTCAAAGAGATCCGCCTGCCTCTGCCTCCCAAGTGTTGGGATTGAAGGCGTGTGCCAGCATGCCCAGCTAAAAAATACTTTTTATTTATTGGTCTTATGTAAGAGATGTGTATGTGAGTTGGGGCACATGCCATGGCAGAGAGATGCTTTCAGGAGACACTTTTTTCCTTCTACTGGGTATCCAGGGATCAAACTCAAGTTGTCAAACTTTTATGGCAAACTTTTATTCACTGAGCCATCTCACCAGACTGACCTTGATTTTGAAACGGTACTTTGATATCTTGCTGTGGAACTCAAGCTAGTCTGGGCCAAACTCTGTGTAGCACAGGCAGACCTTGAACTCCAAATCCTCATCCCAGGTGAGAAACTGTAAGTACATACCACCATATTGAGGTTATAAATTATTTCTTCTGGCACAGAGCTACACACATTCTGTAACTTGCTGCCTTCCTACTGGTTACTTGTGACTCTGGCCTGCAAAACTGAAAATACTCCCTGGTGTAAAGTTTTTCTGAAGTGGAAGGTCAGCAAATACTCTCAGGACATTTTTAAGTTCACTTCCAAAGACACTTTGACCCAGCCACTGGGTCAAAATCCTTAGAAACTATAGGATGATATTTGTGATTCTTTTTCTGTTTTGATTTGTTTTTTTGAGACAGGGTCTCCCTGTAGCTCCAGCTGTCCTGGAACTAACTGTGTAGGCCAGGCTGGCCTTGAACTCACAGAGATCTACCTGCCTCTGCCTCCCAAGTGCTGGGACTAAAGGTGTGTGCTACCACGCCCAGCCTGTGATTCATATTTTTTTAATATTTTGTTCCTGTTTATCAAGTTATCAAGTTTTCTTGCTTTGTGAAAAAGGAAAGCAGACTCCTGTCTCAAATGTTAAAATTGTGTGGAGATTACTTGTCCACACAAAACTGGTTTAATGACAAAAACATTACTGCAGGGTATATTTTCTGCTTCCCCTCCCCTTTCTGGGACTTGGCCTGTGGAGTGACCCCATCTACCTGGTTTTCCCAAAGTTTCTTCTCGGGTAGGTCTCAGTGATTGCTTCCTAGAATCTTGTATCTCCCCTAAAGGCATTACCTACCTAAGTAAAGCCAGCAAGGTCTGACTGAACCACCACAGAACCTGCCTCCTGCTTTTGGATGAAATCTATCTGAAAGGATGGACCTAAAAGGTAGACAGAGTCAGAAGTGGGGCATCCAGAGTGTCCTAGCCTGCCCAAGAGCACAGCTGTGGGCTTCTTTGTGGGGATGAGCCTTAATATTCAAGCCTGTATTAAAGTGACAGTTTTTTGGTATGTCTACCCTGTGGCCCGTGGGCTACATGTGGGCTGCATGTGATAGCCTAACACAAAATTATAAATCTATTTAAAACACTATAGGGTTTTTTTGGTTTTTGTTTTTGTAACTAGGCTATGCAGTTCTCAAATGTGAACTTTGTAGATGATGATATCATGTTGCAGGCTTGAAGGTTGAACATGGATGTTAGACTAAGGGTCATAGTACATGCCTGTTATGCCAGCACTCAGAGGCAAGAAGACTTTGAGTTCAAAGTCTCAAAACCAAAGTAGAATGTATAAAAATCATACTTTATCTGTAAAGTAGTGCTGACAGGGCTGCCTGGCTGTAGTAGTTCTAATTTTGCAGGCCTCAGGGCCTCCTGTACTACTACCCAAAGTGGAAGTGGAAGTTTCTGGCAAACTTGGCTTTGTGCCCCAGGCTAATAATAGCTAATTTCCCACCCCATCCCCAGGTCCTGCCTTCTGAGGGCCCCCTGTCTTCTGCAGCACACAGTAGTTAGAGAAATACAAGGACAGGCTCCTCCAGTCCTAATAATGATGGTCCACATCTACATGTGTCTACATGTGTCCCCTCTACATGTTTCAGGTCATTCATGTTTTAGAATATACTTGGGTTCATCCATATGTTCCAGGTACTACAGGAAGCTTCAGGTTCAGGACATTGTTCAGAGTACTTGAGACAGTTCTCAGCTTTCATCTTGAAGAGACAGGTGACATCATCCAGGGAATTTGAGACCTTGCTAATACTCTGAAAAGCAAGGGTAACGGATTGAGGCTGCCCAAGGCACACAGGACTCACCATCTGCATCTTCACCAGAAACCTGAATTTCCAGATTGCATGTTGCCTTTACCTGCTAAACCATCTTACCAGTTTTTAAACCTCAAAACTGCAGCTCCTATAGCCAGGCTTAGGACCGGGTGTGGTCTGGCCAGAGTACTTTTCCAGTGCTGGATGCAAGGTTCTTCCTCTTTATTTAGGGATTGCAGTGATGAAGTTAAAAAATCCTCCCGTAAACAGCCTCAGCCTGGAGTTTCTGACCGAGTTCCTCATAAGCCTGGAGAAGCTAGAGAACAACAAGAACTTCCGTGGTGTCATCCTTACTTCGGTAGGTGTTTCAGTAGTTCAGGGGCCACATCTGTGCTCAGAGGAGAAACCTGGGAAACACTGTAGCCCTCCATGGAGTGCAGAGTCACCAGGTAGCCCTAGACACCACTAGGATCCTCTGAGCCATATCGTTCTCTATAGGGCAGGCTCCAAGGCACTGCCCAGCCTGGGCTGTCCTTAGAGGACTCTGCTCAACAGTCTAGATGGGAACCTGTGGAGGACAGAGTTCTTCCCAAGGGCCACCAGAAGTCAAGCAACCATAAGCAAACATGACCGGGGCTCCTGGGGTGCCTCCTTCCAGGAGCTACTGATACCTAAGCTGGTCCCACCAGGACACATGCCCTAAGAGCCATGTACTCTGCTCTTTGGGCCATCTGAGGTCAAGTTTTCAGGGGACAAATTCTTCTCCCATCTGAATTCTTGAGGGGAATCTTGGCATTGCCCCTAAGTGCAGGCAAAGGCCAGGAACAATACCAGTGACAACAGCATCACTGCAGTAGTAAGTGGCCCCAGAGAGGAGGTTGTACAGTATTAAGAAAGTTCTCAGGTTTGGCTTCTAGACTCACTGAGCACCTTTGAGGGGCATCATGTCCCCTCCCCTACACCATTGCCAGGACAGAAAGTCAGATGTGGTGTCAGCTCTCAGCCCCTTGGTTGTTTTTGGTTGGTTGGTTGGTTGGGTTTTGTGACAAGTTCATATGTATTCCAAGCTGGCCTTCAACTTCGTATGTAGCCAAGGCTGGAGTACCACCATACCAGTTTAATAAGGTCCTGGGAATTGAACCCAGGGCTTTGTGCAAGCTAGACATATACTCTACTAACCGAGCTACATCTCCAGCCCCTAATACTTTTTTTCCTTTCTTGTTTGTGGTACTGGGGATGAACGCACAGCGTTCGGAATGTTAGGCAAGTGCTCTGCCACTAAATTTCTTCCCTCAGCCCCTTATTAAAGTAGGATGACACTCCCACCACTTTTCAAGTTAGGATGAAAACACAGATTTTCCCGAGTGCTAAGTGCCACAGTAATAAGAGACCTGACCAGGCCAGGCACCAATAGTATGTCTTAGTGTTGTGGTCAGTAAAGGAGTAGGAAGCCAATAGTCAAGGTTTGGTGTGGCAGCTACCTGTCACATCTCCAAAGGGCCTGGCTGCCTAATAGGGAACCATCACTACCATGGACAGGAAACACCAGGGGCATCTCCAGACCAGGTTGACTGTTAACCCTGGGGAGCTGGGGCTGTAGAGCACAGTCCTGCCCTGGCCTTTGGGCAGAGGTTGCTGTGCTCCTCCCATGGCAGGCCTGCTGCTGATGGGTAGACTGGAGTTCTAGTAACAGCAGAATCCCAAGGAGCTTTCCCACAGTCCCAGCCAACCTACTGGGAATGTCTTCCCAAATTCTTCCTGGAGTACTTCATTCTAGATGGCATTTTGTAGCATGACATCTCTGTAATGCTCTAGAAATGGGAGAGCTTCATGTTACTAATATAGAGCTTTCCAAATGAAGACAACTGCTTCTTACCCAGTCTAATCTGGGCACGCGTATAGGTATCACATCACATGTACAACACTGAGGGTCCCACAGCCTCACTCTCCTTAGTCTCCCCATGCTGGGAGAAGAGGGTAACATTTGTCCCTCAGAAGCCAGTTTGTTGGTGCGTTTGTGTTCTGTATTGTGCACCTACTATGTACATAGCACAGGTTCTGACTGAACATAAGTACTCAACAGATAATCATCGTGTATAAAATTTCTATGGCGACCAATAAATTTTTTTTTATTTTTATTTTATGTGTATGTGTCTGTGAGTGTATGCCATGTATGTAGGTGCCCATAGAAGCCAGAAGAGGATAACAGATCCCCTGGAGCTAGAGGTAGAGGCTGTTGTTGATAAGGGAACTGGGAACACACTTGGGTCCCCTGGAAGAGCAGCAGGTGCTCTTAACCACTGACCTATCTCTCTAACCCTGAGTAAAATGTATTAATCAATAGAAATTGATTCTCTCACAGTTCTGTAGGGCAAAGTTCAAAATGACAGAACTCACAGAGGTGGTATCTGGATGCTCCAGGGGAGAATCCTTTGCTGCTCTTCTAGCTCCCCTGGCTTCTGAGCTTATGGCAGAGTCCCTCTGGTCTTCCTTCAGATGGTTTCTCCCTGTGTCTCTGGTTCTACCTCCCCCTCTCTTAATTAGGGTCTGGCTATGTAGGTCAGGTTGGCTTTGAACTCATGATCATCCTGCCTCCACTGCTGCATGCTGGGATTACCAGTGTGCCACTAGGCCTACTCTCTTTAATCTCTAGCTTTTTAACAACTCCCTTTCTTCATAGGTCTTATTCTAGTCTAGAGATAAGAATTTGAATGCAGCCAAGGCAAGGTGGCATGCCTTTAATCCCAGCTCTCAGAAGGCAGAGGCAGGCAGATCTCTGAGTTCATGCCCAACCTAGTTTATGTAGCAAGTTCCAGGCCAGTTGGGGCTACAGGGAGACCCTGTCTCAAAAAAAAAAAAGAATTTGAATGTGACCTAGAAGGACACCAGTTCAGCCAACAACAGGTATGTTCTGAAAGCACAGAAATGGGCTGACCCAAAGCTCTTCGAATCCATTTGGCAAGTGGTGTGACCAGTAGGAGTACTTCAGTCTATTTTTTTACTTTAAAATCTGTCTCTGCCTTCCAAGTGCTAAGATTGTAGGCATTTGCCACCAAGTCCAAAATAAAAAGCTCCTGTTGTTCCCCCATGGCTGTTGCCCCCTCTGCCTTCTCCCTCCTGCCATCCTCTGAACCCAGTCTCATAAGAAGCATCTGAGTTTAGCATAGTAGTCACTCATCTTTTCATCTCTGTTGAGTCTTTTAAGTTACAAAAGAGGAATGTGTTTCATGGATTAAAACATGAGAGCAGCCCACACAGATACTGTGCACAGGAGAAATTGTGTCAGAAGAGTGAAGTTGCCCACACTGACTCTCCCTTGTGTAAAGACTCCAAACATATCTATGTCCACGCCCTCACCTCCTGACAGGAGATGCTGTGGGGCATCCAGTTCTTGCTCCTGGAAGGCAGGATGGGTCTGGGGATGTAACAAGTCTTCCACCAAGGAGCCCAGGGGAGGAAAACACGTGCCAGCACACAGAGGACATCCCTGACTGTTTTTCTACCTGGCCACTACTGGGCCATTTCTCTGGAAATCCTAAAGAAAGTGCCCAGGATTTGATACATGGCCTTGTCTTGCTTAGCTTTTCTGGAGCCCATCAGTTCTTTTTCTACCTGTGTTCTCCCCAGCCCCTCTCTGGTAGCTGTGTTAGTCATGAGTCATCTAACCGAGAACCAACAAGTCCTCTAGATCTTTTTCCTGCACTAGCACTTTCTGCCCTTGCTTGACCCTTGAAAGTAAGTCAGAACATGTACCCTTGCACAGTGTATCAGGATTCCTATTGCTCCTGAGGTCTTCAGCCTGGATTACAGAATAAGAAATGCAGACGTGTGCACAGCTGGTACATAGTTATCTCTGAGCAGTACCCAACCTTACCTGTTCTGTCATTTCCAGTTTGAACTGATAAAAGGAACATTTTGGGAAGTTCCAGAAGCAAGTCCACAGTTTGTCCTTGGAGCTCCTTGTTCTAGATTCTTTAGAAGCAGTATGTTGCCACCTAAACATGACTTCTGGCTTTTCCCCCGACCCCCAGGAACGCCCAGGTGTCTTCTCAGCCGGCCTGGACTTGATGGAGATGTATGGGCGGAACCCAGCCCACTATGCTGAGTACTGGAGGGCTGTGCAGGAGCTGTGGTTGAGGCTTTACCTGTCCAACATGATATTGGTGTGTGCCATCAATGTGAGTGTCTCCACCCACACTCCGTCCCCAGTTCTTCAGGGCAAGGAACATGCAGGAACTGCATGCAAGGAACTGGCTGAGAGGCTATCCAGAATGAACCCAGAACAGATCTGCATTTTTAGATGTGGCACTGTGTTCTAACCTTGGAAAGACAGGGAGGTTGAGGAAGAAATAACGCTCAACTTCAGGAAGTGGGGTACTATGGGGAGTGGGGCCCAGACACTTGGGATCAAACCCAGAGGAAATTGAAGGATGGTGGGCAGACAAGAGACAGTTAGGTGATAGGCAGATGTAGGAGTCTGGAGAAGAGATGCTGATGATCCATCTTGGTGGGGAGAATTGGGGTGCATGATGTGAGGACTTTGTTATTTTGGAGCTCCCAGAGCACCTGGTATGGTTGGCAGCTGGGGGTGATAACAGCCCTGTGGGGCCTGATAGCTCTAGCTAAATGTTCATTTTGAGCATTAGCATCAGATAAAAGCTACAAAAGGAGAAGCAACTTGCCATCCTAAAGGGAGTCGTTTTTTGGGTCCTAAAAGCTGAAGAACCTTGTGTCAGGGCCTTTGGACCTCCCCCTACTCCCATGCCACCCTCCACCCCCTGAAACCCTAGCTTGTCCTCTGGTCTCTGCTCACATGCCTATCATGCACAGCCTGCCCAGATGCGAGTGCAGCACCTGGTGGGGCTAAGAGCCCAGGCCCACCCTCAGCCCTTCCTTGGGTGACCTCTACCCTGACTCTCAGGAATACTCATGGGTCCAGCAGCTTCCATAGGCCAAGACTCTTGCTTCTCCCTGCAGGGCACCTCTCCTGCTGGAGGCTGCCTCATGGCCCTCACCTGCGACCACAGGATTATGGCTGACAATCCCAAGTACACCATAGGACTGAATGAGAGCCAGCTGGGAATTGTTGCCCCCTTCTGGTAAGACAGGGGACTGCACCTACACTACTTGAACCCAAGCCCAACATACCATCCCTCTACCTAGCTCAAAGTTGATGGATATCTGCATTCCAGGTTTAAAGACAATTTCGTGAACACTGTCGGTTACCGAACTGCAGAGCATGCCCTGCAACTGGGGCTGCTCTTCCCACCTGCAGAAGCCCTCAAGCTGGGTATAGTAGATGAGGTGGTACCCGAAGACCAGGTACACAGCAAGGCTCAATCAGTGATGGCCCAGTGGATGGCCATTCCAGGTGAGGAGCATGGGGAAGGGCAGTAGCTTTGGAACAGGTGGCTAAGGGAACTTTCTCTCCCTCCCTCCCTCCTTCCTCCCTGTCCTGGTGATCCATCCTGATGAAACCAGAAGTTCTGTGAAGTAGGCTGTGCTGGTGTCCACAGCTGCAGGGACAAAGGACCAGAACCCAGGTAGCTTATAAACATAAGTCATTCCTAGGCAGGCATGGTAACTCATGCCTTTAATCCCAGCACTTGGGAGGCAGAGGCAGGTGGGTCTTTGTGAGATCGAGCCCAGCCTGGTCCACATAGCTAGTTCCAGGCAAGCTGGGGCTACAGGGAGGCCCTATCTCAAAAAAAAAAAAAAAAAGTTATTCCTAGACACCAAGTCCAGACTCAAGGTGTCATCAGGGCTATCCTGGGTGGAATCCTCCCTTGCCGCCTCTTCCAACTTCTGATAACTCCAAGCATTCCATGACTTGTGCCCCCATCTGTTCTGTCTCTGTCTCCCACCATAGTGATCTTTCTCAAGACTATCTGTCCCACATCTCCCTCTGTTCCTAGGATACCTCCACTAGATCTGGTAGTTCCCTGTAGCTAAGATGCTCTCATCTTAATCACATCTATGGAAATTTTTTTCTAAGTCAGGTCACATATTTAGGTTCCAGAACTCTGATACACCTTTTGAAAAGTAGCTCCTGGCCAGGTGGAGCACACCTTTAGTCCCAGCACTCAGGAGGCAGAGGCAGGCAGATCCTCTGTGAGTTCAAGGCCAGCCTGGTCTACAGAGTGAGTTCCAGGCACCTGGAGCTACGGAGACCCTGTCTCAAAAAGACCAAAAAAAAAAAGAAAGAAAGAAAAGTAGCTCCTGTTGCTATTCAACCCACGGCAAAGACAATTAAAACACTGTCAGTCTGCTTATAGAAATAGAGCCGAAGCCAGGCATGGTGACACACACTTTTAATGCCAGCACTCGGGAGGCAGAGGCAGGTGGATCTCTGTGAGTTCAAGGCCAGCCTGGTCTACATAGTGAGTTCCAGGACAGCTGGGGCTACAGGGAGACCCTGTCTCAAAAAGACGAAAAAAAAAAAAGAAAAAGAAAGAAAGAAAGAAATAGAGCCAGTCATATCCATGATGATTAGGAGCAGGGATCAGCTTCATGGGTCATGAAGTAGGTGTTGCATGGGGCTTTTACAGCAAGAGGGCAGCCAGAAGGAACACAGCTGCTGCACCCTGTGAAACTACAGGGACACTGAGACTTCTTGGTTTTTGCTTTATTTTTTGAAATAGGGTCTCACTACATAGTTACTTACTGGCCTGCAGCAATCAAATTTGTAGGTTCAAATTTGTAGTCCTGCCACCATGCCCAACTAAGATACCCAAACTTGAGTGTCATGTATTTCCCACATGTCACAAAGTTTCCTTTTGAATTTTTTCCCAGTTATTTCAAAATGTAAAAATTGGTCCCAGCACTCAGGAGGCAGAAGCAGACAGATCTCTGTGAGTATGAGGCCAGGTGGGCCTACTTAGTGAGTTCCAGGCTAGCCAGGGCTACATAATGAGACCTTGTCTCAAGAAAACAAACAAAAGTAAAAATCGAGGCTAGAGAGATGGCTCAGGGTTTAGGAGCATGTAACTGCTCTTCCATAGGACCTGAATTCAATTCTCATCACCTCATCAATTCTCTCATCCATCTCATAACAGGTGAACAACCACCTGTAATTCCAGCTCCAGGAATTCAACACTTCGGTTCCATCGGTTCCAGTATTCATGTACATATACATGTACATGTACACATTAAAAAATAAAATCTTGAGAAATCATATCTAGGGACTGGAGAGATGGCTCAGGGTTAAGAGCACTGACTGCTCTTGCAAAGAAAGTACCCAGGTTCGATTCCCAGAACCCACATGGCAGCTAACAAATGCCCGAAACTCCAGTTCTAGGGGATCCAATGCCCACTTTGTCTCTGTGAGCATTGTAAGATACAGGTGCACTTACATACATGCAGGCATACACTCATACAAATAAAATAAAAATAAATAGAATATCATAAAATCCTGAGAAATCATATCTAGGGGCTGGAGAGATAGTTCAGCAGTTAAGAGAACTGGCTGCTCTTGCAGAGGACAGGGGTTTAATTCCCAGCACCCATACAGTAGCTAACAACTATCTGTAACTCCAGTTTCACAGGAATAAGATGCCCTCTTCTGATCTCTGTGGGCACTGCACAACAGGGGTGCACTTACATACATGTAGGCAATACATTCGTATACATAAGAATATTTTAAGTGGGGTGTGGTGGCTTACACCTTTAGTCCTAGCATTCAGGAGGCAGAGGCAGGCAGATCTTGATGAGTTCAAGGCTGGCCTGGTCTACATAGTGAGTTTCAGGCCAGCTGGGGCTATAGGGAGACCAAATATTTTTTGAAAAAGAAATCATATCTAAAAATTATATCCTGGCAGCCTTCCTCTCTTGGGGAGCAAGTGTGCCAATCCCTATATGCATAAATGAGTATTTAGTGACACAGAAAATATTGTTAATAATGACTAACAAAAATGACACATCAGTTGTTTGTGGTCCTGTGGCTAGCACGCAGGGCTTTGTGGATGCCAGACAGCTGCTTTACCACTGAGCTGTATACCCAGCCCTGAAAATTTACGCAAACAAAATTTTAAGAACCAGGCATGGTGGTATATACCTGCAATCCCAGCACTTGGAAGACCAAAGGAAGATTGCTACAAATTCAAGATCATCTTAAGCCACCTAGTAAGATGCTCCATAATACAATAACAGTGGTAACAACAAAAGATTTTACAGTCTCATCCTATCTGCTATTTATCTTAGTATGTATATACAAGGTGTTCATATGCAGCCTTCATAGGCTGGCTTTGAAGTACCTATCCTCCGGCCTCAGGCTCCCAAATGCAGGATTACAGGCATGAGCCCCCACACCCCATTTTATCTGTGATTTTTCTAAACTCTCTACCAGAGTTTGTGTTTGAATACTTGAAGAACTTGTTGAACAATGGGAATGACCCCCCTGTCTCTGAAGGTGAGTGTCACAGGTAACCCCATTTTCTTTAAGACCACTCTCGACAGCTGACCAAGAACATGATGCGAAAGGCCATGGCAGACAACCTGATCAAGCAGCGGGAGGCTGACATCCAGAATTTCGTCAGCTTCATTTCCAGAGACTCCATCCAGAAGTCCCTGCACACGTACTTAGAAAAGCTCAAGCAAAAGAAAGGCTAAAGCAAGGCTGCGCTTGGGTGTTCACTCACATGTGCCTTCCAGGGACCCACTGGCCCCAAGTGGGTTATAAACAAGGTATTTTTCCACTTTGAGATTCTTTTGGCTTTATTTTATGTGATTTTCAAAAGTCTTCTTCCTTGGAATGAGGGAATCACTCTGTTAGTAAAGTACTTGGTATACAAACATAACGACCTGAGTTCAGTTCTGCATGGTATGGTAGTGTGTTCTTGTACCCCCAGTATTGGATAGATGGATACTGGCAGTTTGCTGCAGCTTGTTTCCCAGCCAGCCTAATCAGTGAGTCCCAGATCTCAGTGAGAGACCCTGTCTATAAACATGATGGTTCCTGAGGAATGACACCCAAGGTTGACACACACGAATATACACACACACAGAAGTTCCTGGTTTTTTGAAGTCCATTGCCCTAAGACCCAGCTACAAGTATCTTTCTACTTGGTAAACAGCAGAAGGCCCTCTGGGCCTTATAAGGTCTCACTTGGTGTCCACCTTCTGAAAGAAGAGTATCAGAGGAACCTGAGGAACTAAATGTGGAGGAAGATGACAGTAAGGATTCCCTTTAAAAAAAAAAATTCTGGATCGGCTTGGTGGTGCACGCCTTTAATCCCAGCACTTGGGAAGCAGAGGCAGGCGGATCTTTGTGAGTTCAAGGCCAGCCTGGTCTACATAGTGAGTTCCAGGACAGCTGGGGCTACAAGGAGACCCTGTCTCAAAAAGACCAAAAAAAATAAAAAAACAAAAATTTCTAGACAAGGTCTCATGTAGCCAGGATGGCCTTCAAACTTGCTATTTAACTGAAGATTACCCTGAACTCCTGATTTTCTTGCTCCATTTCCTCAGTGCTGGGGTCACAGGGGCACATCACCATTCCTGGTTTATGTAGTACTAGGTGTCAAACCCATGGTTTCCAGCACTATACCAACCTCGCTGCATCCCCAGCCTGCTTATTCTGCTTAGTCTTGAATCTTTAGAAAGAGTTTTTAAGAACCGTACTTGTCAGCTGGGGAATGAGCATCCATTGAGCACCTGCCTAGTATGCACCAGGCCTTGGGTTTTATTCTCAGCAACACACTAAGACAGACAAAAAACAGAACCAGGCTGGAGAGGTGATTCAGCAGTTAAGAGCACTGGCTGCTCTTGGAGCAGACTCGGGTTCAGTTCCTAGCACCTACATGATGACTAATAACTATCTATAACTCCAGTTCCAAGGTATCCAATGCCCTCTTCTGGCTTCTATGGGTATTGTATGCATGTGGTACACTCCATGCATGCATGGAGAACACTCATATACATAAATTTAAATAATTTTTTTTAAAAAGAGAGTCAAACTTGTCTGATCCATTTAAAAAAAAAAGTTTCTTCCCATATGATTCAGGCCTGTTCTCTAATACTACCAAAGATGAGATATTTTATTGTCTTTGAGCCTCCACAAGCACGCCTGCAGGTACACACACACACACACACACACACACACACACACACACACACAGAGATGAGATGTTTTAATAACCAGAAACTAGTTGGGTGTGGTGGTGCACACCTTTAATCCCAGCACTTGGGAGGCAGAGGCAGGTGGATCTCTGTGATTTCAAGGCCAACCTGGTCTATGTATCGAGTTCCAGGCCAGCTGGGGCTGCAGGGAGACCCTGTCTCAAAAAGACCAAAAAAAAGGAGATGGCTCAGCAGTTAAGAGCACTGACTGCTCTTACAGAGGACCCGGGTTCAATTCCCAGCAACCACATGGCGGCTAACAACAATCAGTAACTCCAATTCCAGGGGACTCTGACACCTTCTTCTGACCTCCCTGAGCATTGCATGACAGGGTGCACTTACACACATGCAAGCAATACACTCATACACATTAAAGAAAAAAAAGAAGAAATAACCAGAAACTTCATGAAGCCCTTGTATTCACAGACCTGTTTGTTCCTGCTCCTAAAGTAATGGCCCACTTAAGCTCAAAGCCCCCATCCTCCAAGTCCTTTCCCAGCCCAAGCTTTTAGGGAAGAAACTATACAGGAGAGTACCACCAAAGGTCTGTACCCAGGCAAATGTGCAGGATCTAAGCCCCCAACAGCCTGCCTTATTTGCAGGACTCCCTGAAGAGCTGACTTGCTGGGGCATAGGCCCAGCCTCTCTGACCACCTTTTGCAGTACTGGATGAGACACAGCCTCTGATTCAGATTAGTGTGTAAGGATCCCTGAGCCAGGATGGGCACCAGGGTCCAGGAAACCATAACTGCCCTACTGCATCTAGAATGAAATTCATGGAAGCATTTGAGTTTGCCCAAAGGAAGCAAGGATACTGTCCTAGCTTGCTTTCTGTTGCTATGATAAATGCTCTAACCAAAAAACTACGAAAGGAAAGGATTCGTTTCAGTTTATGACACAGGTTATAATCTAAAGGTTGAGGGAAGTCAGTACAGGAACCTGGAGTCATGAACTGAAGCAGAGACCATGGAGGAATGCTGCTTACTGACTTGCTCAGCTACCTTTATATATATCCCAGACCCACATGTCCAGGGATGGCACTGCCCATAGTGGGCCAGACCTTCCTACATCAATTAACAATCAAGATACCCCATAGACATGTCCACAAGACAGTCTGATGGGGACAATTCCTCAACTGAGGGTACCTCTTTTCAGTTGATTCTAGTTTGTGTTAAGTTGACAAACCAGCACAGGGCTAGAGACATGTTTCAGGGGTTAAGTACACCTGAGTTCAGTTCCTAGCACCCACATCAGGTGGTTCACAACTCTCTGTAACTCCAGCTCCAGAAGATCTGACACCCTCTTCTGACCTCCAAAGGCACACACACATGGTCTAGAGGTAGCCAATTTCCATCACAATATGAGGTGGGCAAGAGCAATGGAAACAGCTCCAGTGGGCAGTAAGAATAATGCTTGCATTCTAGAATGGCTGGGTCCTCAGAAAGGTCAAAGTCCTCATCCAACCTGTGTGTAGTCCTGGCCCAAAGTGGATTGTATATTAAGCACACGAATATGTGCCAGGCACTGATCTGGTGTCCTTCATGAGTACTCTTTACAACTCTATGAGCTAGGTTGTGTTAACATCTTAGAGATGAGTAATTCTGTCATATGTCCATGGTCATTGGTTTATACCAGCCGACTGTGCCCTGAATCCTCAATGGGTCCATTGCTGGTGGCCAGAGTATGCAGATGGCATATCCTAACCACCTCAGGTGTCAATGAGACTTGAAGGTCCCTTCCACAAGAAAATGGTTGCCAATGGCAAGAGTCTGGAAGAAGATGGGTGGAGCCTCAGCTCTGTGGGGCAAACAAACCTCGATGTACCCAAGGTCTTATGTCTCTAGACCTACTCACCAACCCATAGCAACCCAAGATCAGAAGTTGAGCACCTCACATACTGACAGAGCTGAGGAAGCTGAGGTCACAGATCCAACTGAGTAGGGCAGCATCAAGAGACTATCAAGGTAGCCTGGTGCACAATCTGCTGCACCACCTTCATGATGTGGCTATCCACCTGCAAAGACCGTGGCTCAGACTCGGGGGCTGCTCAGTGGTCAGACGACATTGCCACACTTCACCCAGACTCTCACCTCAGACTGGGTGCCCTCGATGATCTCTGTGGCTTCACTGGTCTCTGTGTCATCTGCAGTGGCCTGGGGAAACAGTCAGAAGTCAGCCTGTGCTGACGCAAATGCATCCCTGCCCCAGCAGCCCCACACCCACCTCAATGATGTACTCTTGGGTGTCAGCCACCACAGACGAGAACTCCACCAGCACAGTGTGGGGGTCTTCTGCAAGCACAGTGGCAGCTGCCGAGGGGCTCTCTTCCGACACCAGCAACTCCTCCACTTCCAGCAGGCAGCCCCCTGCCAACGGGGAGCTCAGTCAGGGCCGGGCCATCCCAGCCCTCACCCCCTCCTGCCACCTTTGGCCCAGACCTTTGGTGCGCAGGTGCCGGTTGAGTGTGCCGTGCTCTGCAAAACCACGGCCACACTTGTAGCACTTGAAGGGCTTCTCGCCTGTGTGGTGCCTCACATGTCGCACCAGCGAGCCCTTCTCCCGGAAGCCTCGGCTGCAGAACTGGCACACGTGGGGCTTCTCCTCCAGATGCGTCCGGAAGTGCACCTGCTGGGCAATCTAGGGAGACCCAGTCTGTGACAGCCTGACCTCAGCCACAAGACTGCAGCCTCCTACCCACTCCCCACCTCTGGGTGTGGCAGAGGCAAGGGGTATAGCCAGCCCCTCTGACTGAGGAGTGGAGGGCGGGGGTCACGCATCGGGACCCAGGGACGAGAGGCCCACCTTGGTCTTGTAGCGCTTGCCACACTGGGGACAAGGGAAGGGCCGCTCATCTGAGTGGACACGCCGGTGGCCGCGCACATGGGCGATGGTCTTATAAAGCTTCCCACAGTCTCCACAACGGAAGCGGCGCTCACGCACATGTACCTCCTGATGCTTCTTGAGCAGATAGGCCTTGGGGAAGGCTTTGCCACACTGTGTACAGGTGAACGGCCTCGGCCCTGGGGCCACATGCAACATCAGGCCAGGTCCACCACCCACAGCCCACCTGACCCCCAGCTGCCTACCCACGGACCTACCCACCTTCGTGGCCTCTTCTGTGGGCCTCCAAGGTGGCTGCTGTCGGGAAAGTCTCACTGCACTGAGGGCACAGGTGCGTCCTGGGCACAGCTGAGGCCTCACTGGCCACCTGCTGGGGAACCACAGGCAGACCTCTAGCACCCAATGCAAGCTGTGCCCCAATGATTCCAAAGACAAGACCGTGGCCATCTTCCCTCCTGGCCCAGGAAAAGCAGTCAACAGAGCAGAGGGCAAAGTTACAGCAGGAAGCAATGCTGCTTTCTAGCCCCATGCTGGTGCAGGCCTGTAATCCCAGCACTTGGGAGATGTAGGCAGGAGGACCAAGAGCTCCACACCAACCCTGACTACATTAAGGAGCTGGAAGCCAGTCTGGGCTATGTAAGACTGTCTCAAACAAAAGCAAAAACAGCTGAGTAGAGTGGCACAGGCCTTTAAAGGCAAAGACAGGGTAATCTCTGTGAGTTCCAGGCCAACCAGGGCTACATGAGACCCTGTCTCAAAACAAACAAAAATGCTACTTTCTGTTGCATGAGGAGGCTGGCAGCCCAGGCCAGTGTGATAACCAGGCACTGAGAAGGAACATGCCAGCACCAGACACTTACTGTCTCCATCTGGTCCACCTCCAGCAGTGGCAGTTCCGGGGATCCATCTCCCAGAGACTGAGGACTGGACCCAGAGGGAGGGGCCGGCTCCAGGACACCCTCCTCCCCAGTGACCCGCTCCAGGACGATGCCAGAATTCTGCATGGCCTGGTGTAGCAGGTTCTCACGGTTGCTCTCACTGGAACAGGGAAGGTCCTCTGGGCCTGGGGGCTGCAGGGGAGGTAGAGGGAGGGAAAGGAGGAGGGAGGCCTGCCAGGAAGCCCAGCACAGGCACTTACCCGCAGCCGCCCCACATGGCAGACTCATGACAGACCCACCCAGGAGCCCCTCAGTGCACTGCCAGTTGCCTTTGCTCTCACTCAGGGAAGCCCAGCCCCCTCCCCTTCTCCCTAGACTTCAGCTCACTCTCCTCTGCCCCTTCCCTGCCTTGTGGAATGCCATCTACTAAAGAGGGGGTAGGTGTAAGTCTGTCCTGGTCCTGCTGACACCAGTGTCTGAAAGCAGAGCAGGCAGAGGGCAGAGAAGCCCCTACCTCTGGAGCCAGGGCTTTCATGCCCAAGGGCAGCTCCTGCATCTGGACATGGACTTCATGGATGACGGTGCCCTTGGCATCTGTCACCAGGTGGATCACAGGTGATGTTTCCATGGGTTCTCCTGTCACTGAGGATGGTGGAACTGTCCCCACAGTGGAGTCACTGGACCCTTTAAGGCAGAGCCCATGATGAGCCTGGCAGCTAATGCTGGGAACAACAGCACTGAAAACTTGGGCAGCTCCTCACCAGGCTGACCTGCAGGTACTTCCTCTTTGCCCACAACCGTGTCCTTGCTCATGTTGAAGCGAATTTTTTCTGTGCATGGAGTGAGAGACTTGAGATGCCTCATCAGTGCACCTGACTCCCGGAAGCTCTTTCCACATTTGGCACACTTGTAAGGGCGCTCATCTGTGGAGAAAACAGCAGCCCCCTCTCAGCACACAGAAAGAAATTAATCAAAAAATAATTTTTCAAAAAGTATTATAGGGGATGTCTGTCGAGATGGCTTAAGAGGAAGCACATACATTGTTTCTATGAGCTTGTGTTACTTCACTTAGTATAACAGTTTCTAGTTCCATCCATTACCTGAAATTTTCATTATTTCATCTTTCTTTACTGCTGAGTAGAACTCCATTGTGTAAATGTACCACATTTTCGTTATCCACTCATCAGTTGAGGGACACTTAAATTGCCTCTATCTCTTAGCTATTGTGAAAAGAATGACAACAAGCATGATTGTGCAAGTATCTCTGCAATAGGATAAGTCCTTTGGGTATATGCCAAGGAGTAATATAACCAGATCATATGGTAGGTTCATTTTTAGTTTTTGTTTTTTTGGGTGGGTTTGTCATTTGTTTTGTTTTGTTTTGTTTTGTTTTGTTTTTTTGTCTTTTTTGAGACAGGGGCTTCCTGTAGTCCCAGTTGGCCTGGAATCCCTATGTAGACCAGGCTGTCCTCAAACTCACAAAGATCTGCCTGCCTTTGCCTCCCAAGTGCTGGGATTAAAGGTGTGGGCCATCGCATGGTAGTGCATGCCTTTAATCCCAGCACTTGGGAAGCAGAGGCAGTCAGATCTCTGTGAGTTCAAGGCCAGCCTGGTCTACATAGTGAGTTCCAGGACAGCTGGGGCTACAGGGAAACCCTGTCTCAAAAAGACAAAAAAAAAAGGGTGTGGGCCATTAGGCCCAGAGCACTTTTAGTTTTTTACAAGTTCTCCACACTGCTTTCCATAGGGGTTGCACAAGTTTGCAATCCCACCAGCAATGAATGAGCATACCCCTTTCCCCACATCCTCACCAGCATTTGGTATCATTTGTTCTCTTGATCTTAGCCAGTCTGACTAGAGTAAGATGAAATCTTAAGGCGGTTTTAATTTGCATTTCCCTAATTACTAGCAATATTGAACACTTTTCAAGATGTTTCTTAGCTATCTTTATTTTTTCTTTTGAGAATTCTTTGTTCAGATCTTTAACCCATCTTTTAATTGGGTCAGTTTTTTCTTGAGTCTTTGTTTTTTGAGTTCTTTATATATTCTGGACGTTAAACCTTTGTCAAATGTGTTGCTGGTGAAGATTTTCTCCTACCCTGTGTGTTTTTTTCTTACTTTCTTGATTGTTTCTTTTGTGTACAGAGGCTTTTTGGTTTAATGAGGTCCCACTTGTTGATTATTGACCTTAATTCCTTTCCTACACCTATATCTTGTAGGTTACTGACAGTATTTTCTTCTAGCAGTTTCAATTTCAAGTTTCACACTGAGGTCTTTGATCCATTTGGAGTTGACTCTTGTGCAAGGTGAAAGATAAGGGTCTTGTTTCATTCTTCTGCAGGTGGAGATCAGTTTTGCCAGCACCATTTGTTGGCACCTTTGTCAAATATCAAATGACTGAAATTTCATGTACTCATGTTTGGGTCTTCAATTATGTTCCATTGATCTATGTGTCTATTTTTGTGCCAGTCCATGCAGTTTTTATGACTATAACTCTGAAATATAGTTTGAGGTCTAGTATAGTACTCCTCCCCAACATTGCTGTTTGTGCTCAGGGTTGTTTTGGTTATCCTGTAGCCTCAGCTGACCTGGAACTCACTATGTAGGCCAGGCTGGCCTTGAACTCACAGAGATCCACCTGCCTCTGCCTCCTGAGTGCTGGGATTAAAGGCATGCGCCAACACGCCTGGCTTAAAATTGCCTTGTCTAAAAACAATCCTGTGCAGGTACCAGGAGAGAGGACATCAACATGCCTTTTTCAGGGAGAGGGTAACAGTCCAACCCACAGCAGCACTGAAGCTGGGGTGAGGCTGAGGAGAGTCTGGTCAATGGTATCAGATCTCCATTTCCCTTCAGCTTTCCCCAATCCCTGGGACCAGTTGCACCCTCTTTAGTTTAATTATTCTTTTGTCACTGATCACCTCGTTCTCTGTGTATTGATCTTGGCCTAATTGGGGGAAAAATACCTGGAGCAGAATACTCTGGGGAAGTAAATGGTTCCTTTCTGTCCTAAGTGCACTTGTAACTCTCCCTGTCTGAACAAAACCTTCATAAACTCTACATATTTTGGAGTTCTGTGGACAGGGAAAGAATAACCTTGCTGTGCTATAGGGTCCTGAGAGTTCCTGTGTTTTCCTTTATGGCACACTGGGTTCAGAGCTATTTATAATTTACCAACAAGAATTCAGCTCAATTGTAAAAGCAAATGTGGAGCCAGGCGTGGTGTCACATGCCTTTAATCCCAGCACTCGGGAGGCAGAGGCAGGTGGATCTCTGTGAGTTCAAGGCCAGCCTGGTCTAGTCTACATAGTGAGTTCCAGGCCGGCTGGGGCTACAGGGAGACCTTGTTTCAAAAAGACCCGTTCCCCCAAAAAAGCAATTGTGGAATGTCATAGAACAGGTCAGGCACATGTGGCCCACTTGAACCAGGGACTTAGGATACCAGTAGGCAAGCACTCTACCACTGAGCTATGTTTCTAGTCCTTGAATTCCAAATCCTTCTGCCTCATCCCAAGTCTGGAATTACAAGTGTACACTATTAACTATCACATTCAGGTTAAAAATATTTTAAGGGGCTAGAGAGATGGCTCAGCAGTTAAGAGCACTGACTGCTCTT